TGTCATTTATGATACAATTAAAATACCTATGGAATAATTATAGGTATAATATTTTTTTAAAGTTTATAGGATTTTGTTTATGGATAATGTTACAATTATTAAAATTGGACAGGATCTATTAAACTACCTGCTATTGTTAAGAATTGTTAAAAAATGATCAAATTTTTAGTAGAAATTCTATAAACAGAACCAATAAATAAATTAAGATCATCATTCTATTATTTGTGATGATTATTATTATCAAAAATAAAATAATATATGCAAAAACATTCAGATATATATATATTATTGTTAAATTGATAAGATTCTTATCTAATTCAAGTATTCTATATACTAATTTCTATTTAAATTATTATAGTTTAATTTTAAAAGGATATTTTTAATTATAATATATAAAATTATTCATTATTTACTAGTAACACATTTTTTCAATAATAAATATTGATCGAACATCTACTAACTCATTTATCTAGTTATTTTAATTAACTAATCATAATCCAAATTCTAATATCTAAATTTCTTTTAAACATAAAATAACCCTTCCTTTTATGCTTGAATTTCACTTGTTAAATCTATAATTTAATTACTTAAAGGATCTGTAAACATTAATCTATATATTTAATTTTAATTACTCTTCTATATTATTTTATTCTAATTTACTTATAGTAGTAACACATGACTCTATTTTTTATTCCATATAACTCAATTATTAATCTAATTTATGAATACTGGTATTAATTTCTTCATCTTTTAATTTAATCTCTCTCATTACTTTTGTTTGTTATTAATACTATTCTATCAAGTTATCAGTTAGTTATTTTTACTATCTGATTGAATCCATTAGTTTTTTAGATTGATTTAACAATTCAATATCTACTTTAGATTTTACTTCAGTTTTTATTTTCTCTTCTTTTGCTTCTTAATTCATAAACAATTCTTTTCCAAATTCAAATACTGATGTACTCATTTATAATAATTTATTAGCCATTCCTGTTTCCTCTTATTATTATTTTTTTTATTGTTTATCTTGCTATTAAATATTTTACGATTGTTATTGTTATGATTATTGCTTTTATTAAATTTAAGAATAAGGATTTTATAGTGATTATTACTATTATTAAACAAATTAAGGTTATTATATTTAAGATTGCCAAAGTCCATAATTATTAAACTATGATTAATTCCCTTAATTCATCATCTATTATGGATTATATTAAAATTAAGATTGATTATAATTATACGGATTTGTTTTGAGGAAAAAGGGAAAATTCCTTGACAAAGCTGATTGTATCTCTAACATAAAATCGATCTAATTAGCATAGTATTTATACTATTTTATAATTTTTATTCCAATTCTTGACAGAGGGAATGAAATTATTAAAAGTAATAAACAATCCATTTTAGATTTCAGCTGATTTATATAAAGGATTTGCATCAAATTTGTTTGCTATAATTAAGATATTTAATATACGATCCACATTTTTGAGGAAAATAAAGGGTTAGACTTCGGGATGAGAGGTTTGAAATCTTAAATGGATAAAGATTGAGAAGATGCTATTATTGTATGGAATGGGAACTTAATATAAATTAATAAATACTGTTTCCTTATAATTCTAGCATCGTAATATTAAGAGCTGTCAAAGTTGGGTTCAATTCCTTAAAATTTAAGAGTACTATTTTAGCATCTTCTATGACTTTATTTCTATTATAGATGAAAAAAAGTGATACTTTTTGGTATATTTACATTGATCCATAATGAGTTGGAGTTCGTAAACCTTTTGTTTGAATTATGGATTGTCAGGACTGTAAATATTTTTTTCTGTATTGTTGTTATACATAATTAAAATTAATATAATAAAAATGAAGAGGAGAATGTAAATTAAATGTTAGTTAATTTAGTAATTTGATTATCTATCAGTAGTCATCATCCTCAAATAAAAAAGTTTTGGTGTAGACAGATGAATTTATTGATTTCTTAATTTACTAAGATATTGTTTTGTTAGATTTGATAGATTATTTAGAGTTGGTAATAGTCTGAATTTGTTCATTTTTATCTGAAATATTTATTAAGTCTGTTTCAAACTTATGTTTCCTTCTAAGAAATTTAGATCTATTTTCTTTGACTTTCATAGAATTGAAGTTGAATTGATAGACAGTTTACGAATGAGGCTCTGCATCTGCATATTCTGCAACCTTTATATTGCAACAATTTCCCATCTTAAGTAATAATTTAAAATTAATATTATTTTAATCATTAAGGTTCTTCTTCTTCTTCAGTTTCCTCTTCAATAAGACCAATATCATCTTGGAATATTATATAAATATGATATTACAATTTTATTAACTCTAATTTAAGAGTGGTGCATCAGTAACTTCATCAAAAACTAATTCAAACTTATTGTCAAGATAATTTTCACAAACGATTTTTTTAGGATTGTAAAAGTTAGGAGGTGGAAATATTGGATCTAAACATATTCTTTTATATATATCATTGAATACTTAAATGCATTGTCTAACATTTGAGGAATCAATTTTGATAAAAGTGGACAGCAAATTTCAATTGATGGATTAGTATTGGCTTCAATCATTAAAACTTTAAATGACTCATCTATCATAAAATCTAATCCAAATATTTCAAAAGTATTCTCTTTTTTATTCTAATCCATTTTACCATAAACAGCTTTAAACTAATCAGTTGCCATTTACTATAATATAATCTAACATATAATTATACTTTCATTTTTTAATAAATTTTTGTAAAATCACCTCCTAAATTCTCAATATATACACCAAAATCTTCAAAACTCACTTTATTACCTTTTTCATACTTTCCATAATCTTCTCCTTTCTTTTATACAGCATCATTTGTTAAATGAATCATTTTATTTGTTAAATTTTTCATTGAAAATTCTTTACTTGATGTTCTGACATATCCTTCAGTGTACCAATAACCTTTTTGATTTCCATTAATTGAAACATACATACTGTAACATCTAATATCAAATTTTCTTTTATTGTAAAGTAATGGACGATCAATATACAATTATACAATAAATGTCTTATAAATTCCATTCTTATGAACTTCTCTTGAATTTAATATTGATTATATTTCATTTAAATCCTCTGAGATTTTTATACCATTACCTCTATTTGTTATTTCTCCTGGTTTTATTATCCAAATATTTCTTCGTTTTTCCTATTCAGAATTTATCATTTGCTATCTTTCTCTATAAGCATCTAAAAATTATTAATATTCTTGACCATCTTAACTCTTAATATGATAAGTGACTGGCAAATTATCAAATACATTTATATTTTATGATTCATAATAAGCTTTCATATTATAAAACAATGCTTTCTTATTACCCAAATGAAAATTATTTTCCAAATGATTATGCATTTTTGTTGGTTCATTATAAATAGTTAATTTCTACTTTAAATTTTATACTTATTCTAAAGTTAATAATTTTGATGCTCTTCCTTAACCATTTAATATTTGACTATATTATCTAATCTCATTATGAGACAAAAACTTATTCCATTAAGAATACTCTATTTTATTATTTTTAATTTATTGTTCATTATCACTTTAATCATCTTATTTATTTAGTCCTAATGGTCCTATTGTAGTAATTGAAGATGAAGCACTCTAACATATATTTTATTCATTTGGATTTCTAATCAATGATTTCATATTCTCATGTATTTAATTCACTTTTAATTGAGTCCATACAAAATGACATTATTCCATTTCATCTTATATACTCCACCACCATCTAGATTTTAAAATTTATCTCACTAACATACCATTGTTCCCCTTTCCAACATATGCCTTATAAATATTTAATGTTGGTTAAACAAATATACAATTTGAAAGATTCATTATATTAAAATAATGTCTCATTGAAGCATATTTTTCTTAGAATGCGATATCTTAAGGATATTTTGGATCTATAAAATAAATACCATCAAACTTTTTTTATTTTTTTATTTTTTATTTTTACACTTATTATTATTATTATATTGGTTATAATATAACAGGACCTACTAATTATGGTATTTATTGTGATAATGACATTCTAGATATATTAGATATATTTTCAAATTTGGAATTTCTAGTTGTTTTGATTAATTAGGAATTTTTGCGAGGTTCTATTAATTTCAAAGCCTTTACAGTTTCAATTTCATTTACTCTGTTTTATTTGTCTATTTCCATCTTCTATTTCAATTTTTAAATAATATCTCTTTCTGCTTTACAGTCCATAGAATTATTTAGAAATGCTTCTTATAATTTAATTCTCTCTAATGTTACTTTCAATAATACTTATCACATGGATAGGCTTTGATTATATATTTAAGGTATTCTAAGCATCAACTTATGGAAACATCTATAGGAAACGACCTTATTTAAATTTTTAATGTAGATTATAAGATTTCTTAGTAGATTTAGGAGAATTGACATCTATTATTATTGTAAATTATATACTTTTCTTCTTTTTAAGATGATGGATCTACTTTAATACATTTATGTTATTGTTCCTCTCAAATTAAGGTAATTATGAGGAAGGAATTGGACTTTCTGATCTCTCTTGATATTAATATCTATATTATGAGATATGATTAGGATTATTTAAAACTGATTGTATAGAATCTTTGATGAGTTCTTGAATTCCAGGAGATTGTAATAATTATTCCATGGATCTATTTATTTATGGAGTCAAATGTTCGCTAAATTTATTATTCTACATATTATGATATGCTTAATATATTATTTGGTGATTTTTATACTAAAATTTAAATAAGGCATTGTTATTTGTTCATTATCAACCATTTTATATTTTTACAATCTCTTTTATTATTTTTAATAATTTATAGAAATCTAATTAGATTATTTTACTTTCTTAGTGATTTCAAAAGTAATTCTTATAATTAAATGAATAGATAGCTAATTATTAAATATGAATATTCAATATGATTATTAATTAAATTTATATATACATTCATGACCAAAGATTATTAAATGAAGCATTACTAAAACTTTTAGAAGCCCAATCCATACTTAATAACTAAGAATAATTAATATTAATTACTGATTTCTATGTTAAATTAGGTTTAAATGTTGGTAAATACTTATTTTCTAATTTCATTAAGTTTTCTTATTTTTTCTATTAATAATCCAATAATCTCAATTCTACTTTATCATTTTTATCATTATTGTTATTTCCTCTCCTTTTAATTTATGGTTTAAATGTTAATTATTAAACAGTCTCTTTATCCTTTTTTATTTATTCACTCAAAATATGATCATTTCTCTTCTCTAACCAACTTATTTATTAACTAACAAATTCTTCCACATTAACCTCTGCAACACTATTTTTCTTGAATTTTGCTCTTTCCTTTTCCCATTATTCTTAAAACTATTTCTCTTATTCTTCTTCTTAATTTTTCTTTATTTCATATTATTATTTAATCCATTCTTGTTTTTTCTATATAATTTATTATTATCTTATATGAATAGGCACATAGTATTCACAATCAGTCTTAATTCTTTATTCTTGAATTTCCATAATTTCTTGCCTTTTCTATCGTTAATTATTAACTTTCTATTTTTTTGGTGTTTCTTTTTCTTAAAATTATTTAATTTCTGCTGACTATTATCCTTATTCCTATTTCTTAATAGTATCACCCACTTTATATTTTATCTCTTTAGTTTAAACAACCTTATGACTTTAATCTTATTTATATTAAACATCTTCAGCCACTTCTGCTTCTTCCTTTAATTCTTAATCCATTACAATCACAATTTGTTATTAAGATTTACTAAGATTCAGATTCTTTTGACTTTCATAAATGAAATATTATACTTAATAATTTAAAAATCTTTAATTTTGGGAAGATTTGGTAATAAATCTGCTTAAATAGCCATATCTTTAAATTAACAAATCTATTTGTATGATTCATCTTCTTCAATCAATTATTTTAGTTTTCTATCCAATAGAATACAACTCTTTTAATTAATAAATGGTCTAGCTATAGTTTATTATTTCTCTTTATTTTTCTCCTCATCAACTAATTTTTACAATTATTTTGTTCTTCTTTTCTCAAAATCATATAATCTATTCACAGTCTCTAAAAATGCTAATAAATTTTATATTTTAATTATTACCTTCATCAGATTCTAAGACTGCTTCTTTTTTTTATTTTTCTTGTTCTTCTTTTTGTTTATAATCCTCTTTTTTCTTTTTGACTTCCTCTGATTTTATTTAAGTTTGCTTGATATTTTATTAGACTTTATCAAATTCTATATTATGTATGGTAATGATACTTTTCACTTGTTTTTATGGTAATAGAATTGGTTTCTTAGACATTTCTATAACTGGTTTTTATGGCTTCTTAATTAATTCACTTTTCTTTTTATTAAGAGCTTCCTGAAAGACTGTTTAGGAATTAGAAAATTTCCCATTTTGTAGCTTTAATATTGAAGACTCTTAAGAAATTCTAGCAGTGAATACTTATCTGACTGGAGACAAGGAATTTTTAGTAGATTCAATTTATAGATATCTTTCTAGTGATTGAGATTATACACTTTCTTTTGAGTCATCTAATTATTGATTCATTAACAAATAAAATTTAATTATTATAGTTTTATTACTATTAATGAATGAGAATATATGTAGGGATTGTAAAATGACATTTGAATCAAGTGAATAATTGGCTAATCATGTTAAAAGAGTATTAAAGCATAAATTGATGATAGTTTTGTATAAATTCTGATTATGGTAATTTAAATAAATTGGAACAGAAACATGAATATGTTACAAAACCTGCCTATCCAGAAATGAAACCTAGTTTAAAATAATAGGATCCATCATCACTAAAGAATTATGGTGGATATACATTAGTATGTAGATTTAATAAATCAGGACTAAATCAAATCAAATCTAAAAACTAATGATGATGATTTTAAAAGATTAGAAAATGCTGTACTTAGAAAGAAAGAGGATGAATTAATTGATTAAATAGATAAGCTAAAATAGGACAGATAATAAATGAGAGTAGTTAGTGATTAAGATGAACACATTTATTCAATACTGTTACAAGAAGTAGAATTGAAAAAAGAAAGAGAGTTTTAATGTAGAATAGAAAAAGAATAGATACGCAAATTAATTAATGAAATAGATTCATGGAAGATGTCTGTATTAGAAGAATAAAAAAAATAAATGTTAGAAAAGTTATTAGTGGAAAGAGAAGATTTGAAAAATAAATAATTATAATTAATAGAAGATATCAGATTATTTACTAGAGGACATAAAACATTCTTTTCAATGGAATAAGCATAAAGAGTTACTGATAATAGAATAATAGCATCAGCTTAATATTCAGAAGCAAAATAATAATTAGTTAAATTACATACTAGATTAGAATATATGGATGCAGAGAGAAATAGAATTTAAGATAATGTAGAGAGAATTAAATTAGGAGATTTTGGAGAAGTAAGAAGAGGAGAATCTTCAAAAAATAGTATACGTAATAGTTAATAAATATTGAATGATTAAAGTTAAATAAGAAATCATTAGAATTATGAAGAAATTGCTAGGATGAAAGAAAAAATAGCCCAAGATGCTTAGAGATTAGAATAATTAAAAAGAGAATAAATGGATAGAGTAGATAGATTAAAAACATCTAGACCTTAATCTCATTTATCAAATTAAGTTATAGATGAATTATAATAATTAAAAAATGATTATTAATAGGCTGGAGGTTAAGATCCTAAGTTTTTAAATGATGTAAATAATTTAGAATCCTTTTATAAAGGAGCAGTATAATAACCATAGTAATTATAATAATCATAATAATAATTTTAATAATAATAATAATAATAACCTAATTAATTTTTATAATAATAACCAATATAAATATTTTAATAATAACCTATGTTTATTAATCCTTAATAATAAGAAATTTAAACAATTAAACCAAAAAAGAAAGATTTTAATGATCCATTTTAATAATTTTCAAGAAAGAAAGAATTTTTCTTATAAAATAATGTAAGAGGAGTTGATTTAACTAGAGAAGAATAAATATTGATGAATTTACAGGCATAAGAAGTAGATTCTTTAAGAATGATTTCAAGAATTCCTATTGGAACTGAAATTTATAGATTTAAAATGGAATAATATAAAGAATTGTCAACTATGAGAGCTGAAATGGAAAAAATTATTTAAGAATAAAGATTATAAAGAGTAAGAAGAAATTTCGAAAAGAAAAGAAGAGAAAAGGATAAAGAATTTGAAAATAATAAATGGGTTGATGATCAAAGGAAATTTATAATAGAAAATAGATTAAGNGGACTAAATCAAATCAAATTTAAAAACTAATGATGATGATTTTAAAAGATTGGAAAATGCTGTACTTAGAAAGAAAGAGGATGAATTAATTGATTAAATAGATAAGCTAAAATAGGACAGATAATAAATGAGAGTAGTTAGTGATTAAGATGAACATATTTATTCAATACTGTTACAAGAAGTAGAATTGAAAAAAGAAAGAGAGTTTTAATGTAGAATAGAAAAAGAATAGATACGCAAATTAATTAATGAAATAGATTCATGGAAGATGTCTGTATTAGAAGAATAAAAAAAATAAATGTTAGAAAAGTTATTAGTGGAAAGAGAAGATTTGAAAAATAAATAATTATAATTAATAGAGGATATCAGATTATTTACTAGAGGACATAAAACATTTTTTTCAATGGAATAAGCATAAAGAGTTACTGATAATAGAATAATAGCATCAGCTTAATATTCAGAAGCAAAATAATAATTAGTTAAATTACATACTAGATTAGAATATATAGATGCAGAGAGAAATAGAATTTAAGATAATGTAGAGAGAATTAAATTAGGAGATTTTGGAGAAGTAAGAAGAGGAGAATCTTCAAAAAATAGTATACGTAATAGTTAATAAATATTGAATGATTAAAGTTAAATAAGAAATCATTAGAATTATGAAGAAATTGCTAGGATGAAAGAAAAAATAGCTTAAGATGCTTAGAGATTAGAATAATTAAAAAGAGAATAAATGGATAGAGTAGATAGATTAAAAACATCTAGACCTTAATCTCATTTATCAAATTAAGTTATAGATGAATTATAATAATTAAAAAATGATTATTAATAAGCAGGAGGTTAAGATCCTAAGTTTTTAAATGATGTAAATAATTTAGAATCATTTTATAAAGGAGCAGTATAATAACCATAGTAATTATAATAATCATAATAATAATAATAATTTTAATAATAATAATAATAATAATAACCTAATTAATTTTTATAATAATAACCAATATAAATATTTTAATAATAACCTATGTTTATTAATCCTTAATAATAAGAAATTTAAACAATTAAACCAAAAAAGAAAGATTTTAATGATCCATTTTAATAATTTTCAAGAAAGAAAGAATTTTTCTTATAAAATAATGTAAGAGGAGTTGATTTAACTAGAGAAGAATAAATATTGATGAATTTACAGGCATAAGAAGTAGATTCTTTAAGAATGATTTCAAGAATTCCGATTGGAACTGAAATTTATAGATTTAAAATGGAATAATATAAAGAATTGTCAACTATGAGAGCTGAAATGGAAAAAATTATTTAAGAATAAAGATTATAAAGAGTAAGAAGAAATTTCGAAAAGAAAAGAAGAGAAAAGGATAAAGAATTTGAAAATAATAAATGGGTTGATGATCAAAGGAAATTTATAATAGAAAATAGATTAAGGAATGATTTTGGAGAAGCAAGAAAGGAGAGTCATTTATATGATCCAGCTGAAGGATTAGTTATTCATTGGGATTATGTTTTGGGATTACCTAGAAAAACTAAACTTGCATAATTTGTTTTTGCAGTATTTAATAATATGCAATAATTAAATTAACCAAAATTAATAGAACCTTATGATTGTGAAATTGAAGGAGAGAGTTCTAATCGTGTATTAATTGGAGAGACTAGTCAATTATATGAAATACCTGCTCATCCAGAAGTATTAATTATAGTCGAAGTCTAATTACCTGTAAGTAAGAAATTAGAAGAGAATATTGGTAAAACATAATCTTATGGATGGACATAAATTGATTTATTTGATTAATAAAGATAATTAAAAAGAGGCAAATTCAAATGTCCATTATATAAAGGACCAACAGATGCTACTATTACAATTGAAAATATTGCTAAATTGGAACCTATTCCAAATGCATGGTTTCATATGAGAATTACATATCCAAATGATGAAGAATTAGGATAAGTTAGATCCATTTATCCAGAATAGACTGCCATGGAATATAATATACCTTATATACATTTGAGAAGTTTATTTGATAGAAATTATGAGGCTGCCATTGAAGGAAAGGAGTAAAATAATAAAGATAATGGAAAATTTAGTTTGAATGGTTAAAATTATAAAGTAACTGAAGAAGTAGAAGTATTTGGTAATAAAAGAAAGAATACTCCATAAATTAAATAATATGTTTTAAAAGGAGATATGAAGAAAGGTTATAGAGTTTAAATACATTTTATTTAAAATAAAATAGCCAATAATTTTATGAGAGTCATGTGTGCAGCATTGACTGATTAACATCTTATGATGGATCCAAGTGGTTAACCATTAGCATTTAATACTACTATTCATGATCCTAGTAGTCCTAATCCAGGATAAAATACAGAATCTAATCCATTTCCACTTATAGAAGCTGATCCTTAAATGAAAGGTATCAGTAACAAAGCTGCTAGATCAATTTTGATTGAATTTAATGAAGAATATAGATTTTTTTACAATTTTCAAGAATAAGCTATGAGTTCTGGAAAAGTATATTGTTAATTGATATTATTTAGACTATTTACCTAGGATTTTAAGTAGTTGAAAAGAATGCATCTTAAGGAGGAGCCAATACTACAATGACAATGGGAGAATATGAAGTTATTGGTTGGTCTTATATAATATTTGTCAAACCTGATGGAAGTGTTAGAACTGGGAGAAATACTTTAAATTTATTTNTATGATCCAGCTGAAGGATTAGTTATTCATTGGGATTATGTTTTGGGATTACCTAGAAAAACTAAACTTGCATAATTTGTTTTTGCAGTATTTAATAATATGCAATAATTAAATTAACCAAAATTAATAGAACCTTATGATTGTGAAATTGAAGGAGAGAGTTCTAATCGTGTATTAATTGGAGAGACTAGTCAATTATATGAAATACCTGCTCATCCAGAAGTATTAATTATAGTCGAAGTCTAATTACCTGTAAGTAAGAAATTAGAAGAGAATATTGGTAAAACATAATCTTATGGATGGACATAAATTGATTTATTTGATTAATAAAGATAATTAAAAAGAGGCAAATTCAAATGTCCATTATATAAAGGACCAACAGATGCTACTATTACAATTGAAAATATTGCTAAATTGGAACCTATTCCAAATGCATGGTTTCATATGAGAATTACATATCCAAATGATGAAGAATTAGGATAAGTTAGATCCATTTATCCAGAATAGACTGCCATGGAATATAATATACCTTATATACATTTGAGAAGTTTATTTGATAGAAATTATGAGGCTGCCATTGAAGGAAAGGAGTAAAATAATAAAGATAATGGAAAATTTAGTTTGAATGGTTAAAATTATAAAGTAACTGAAGAAGTAGAAGTATTTGGTAATAAAAGAAAGACTACTCCATAAATTAAATAATATGTTTTAAAAGGAGATATGAAGAAAGGTTATAGAGTTTAAATACATTTTATTTAAAATAAAATAGCCAATAATTTTATGAGAGTCATGTGTGCCGCATTGACTGATTAACATCTTATGATGGATCCAAGTGGTTAACCATTAGCATTTAATACAACTATTCATGATCCTAGTAGTCCTAATCCAGGATAAAATACAGAATCTAATCCATTTCCACTTATAGAAGCTGATCCTTAAATGAAAGGTATCAGTAACAAAGCTGCTAGATCAATTTTGATTGAATTTAATGAAGAATATAGATTTTTTTACAATTTTCAAGAATAAGCTATGAGTTCTGGAAAAGTATATTATTAATTGATATTATTTAGACTATTTACCTTGGATTTTAAGTAGTTGAAAAGAATGCCTCTTAAGGAGGAGCCAATACTACAATGACAATGGGAGAATATGAAGTTATTGGTTGGTCTTATATAATATTTGTCAAGCCTGATGGGAGTGTTAGAACTGGGAGAAATACTTTAAATTTATTTAATCCACCTTTGAAGAGACCACCATTAGATGAATCAAATGTAATTAAAGTTATTTAACTTAGTTATCACAATCAGGAATTAAATTAGATTATTCTTTGTATGACTTTGAATATAATGATGAAGATATGATCAAATGGAAAAATCAAAGAGTTTTTTGATATATGACTTATATATATATATATATTTAATTAATTAATATGTAACATTAAGGTGATTTAATGATCAATGTATATTTAAAACATTCTTATTTTAGGCTGATTTAATTATCAAACAACTTCAATGTGCGGTGTGTATAAATGAATTTAATAACCCATTTTTAACTAAATGTGGACATTGCTTTTGTTATGTATTTAATGAAACATTTAAAAAAGAATTGTATCGAAGAAGTCATTAACAGATATCATAAATGTCCTTTATGTAATTTGGACTTGAATAAAACAGATATTTTTAAGAATAATCAAATTAATCAAATAAAATGTACTTTCATTTTTTACATAGAAATAATTGATGAGTAGAAAAAATAATAATTAAATAATAAAGTAAACAATGTGTTTGGGGATTAAACTACTAATTCTTTCTTACCTGATTATAAAATGATATCAGATGTAAATCAATCTAATAAAAGAGATGTTTAAAAATGCAATTTAACAAATGTACAATATATATGAGAGCAAATATATTGATGCAATAGATGAATTCAAAGCTCGATAATAAGAACTTAAAATTGATTATACATAAAAATTAGAAACTGCCAAAGAGGTAATCTCCTTTGTGTCATAAAAGTAGGATCAAGTCAAAGAATAAATTACTAATAATTATAAAGAAGCATTGAGACAAATTGAAAATAGTTTTAAATAACTAAAAGATTATTATGCAGAATGTGTATATAAAACATTGGAATAATTTAAATGTGAATAAATTGATGTAAGAATTATATTTAATATTTAGATTTTAATTTAAATTGTTTTGCCATAACAAAATACTTAATTTCCTTGGCCATTTAAAGTTAACAATAGAATTAGTTCAATTGCAGAAGTTATTCTTCAATATTTTGATAAAAAAAATGATCCAATCTAAAATTTTGATCCATCTAGATTAAAAATTATATTTTGCAAACCTTAAGATCTCTATAAGATAAGTCAATTAGTATAAAAATAAGATATTGACATTATATCTCAATAATATCAAATTTATCCTATGAATAGTGAGATATTTTTGGCATCTTTGGGTCAAGTTAAGCAAGGCTCTATTATTGTTGTTATTAGTAATATTAATTTGAAGAGCTCATAACCTAAAGAATGCATTACATATAAATTTAATAAAGATAAATTAGTTGATTATTTTAGTTGTCAATAATGTAAAATTCATTGGGTATGTCAAACTTGTAAAGACTTTTGTCATTAAGGACATTAATTATCAATATATAGACAACAAGTCAAACCAGATTGGGCTTGTTGTTATTGTGTATCAAAGGGATTTTGTAAAGCATTAAATAAAAATAATTAATGATTAAGTATAATAAATATTAATATTCTTTCAGTTTAAAGTTTAATTTTCAATAGTTTATGTATTATTGACATTATATATATTTCAATTATTAGTTAAATCATTCAAGAAAATAATTCTTAAGTTTAGTAATCAAACATTAAAGTCAAATAAAGAGATTAAAATAATAATATTAATTTATTTCTAATAAGAAATGAGTTTTATGAATAGGTAAAAATATATAATTTGTATCTAAATAAACTATTTATTGTTTTTTAATAAAACTCACAATATTTATTAAATAAATGATATATAATTATTTTATTCTAAAAATCTATAGACTTTAAATTTGATATTATTAATATAAAATTGACTAAATTAATAATACTTAAAAATGAAAGAATGTTAAAGTAATTTATTTAAAACAATGATAATGATTGCTATTTTATTAGTTTGTGTTCACTCAAAATATTAATGTGATGATTTTTAATACTAATTCTCTCCTTAAAGTTGTGTTTAAGATACTATAAATATTAGATGTAATTGAACTTTTATATGATAGGTCAATATGATTATTTTAATAACAAATGTTTAGAGAATTATTAGGTGAATTTAGGATGTACTGAATAATTGAATAAAGAGGCCTGTTTAAATTAATTGACAGATTAATAAAATAATAGAGTTTATTGTAGATATAATTTGTTTTTATATAATAGGTTTTTTCTATGAGAAATGTATGTAAGTAAAGGAAATATAATTGTAATAATATGGATGCTCAGAAATGTTTAATAAATATGCTTGTTTGAGTGTTCAAAATCAATCATGTAAATGGGAGTCTCAAAAGTGCTTATAATAATAGTAAACTGGTTAGAATAACTCTTAAATATGTAATATCTTTGTAACACCAGTTAATCCTTACACATGTTCTTAGTTACCTTCTGGTTTATGTATAAAATTTTGAGATAATAATAGGTATGAGTAGTGGATTTGAAGGAGATTTTGAATGTATAGAAATAAGATATGAATAATTATCAAAATTATCATGTAATGAAATAGGATTAAATGAAGAAGGTTGTTTAGCATTAAATAAGGAAAATTAATATTGTATTAATTTATTAAAATTAGGTATTTTCAATAATAATAAATGTTAAGAGATAACATTATCACAAATCAAATCTTGTGATTAAAATTTAAGTTAATTTGCATGTTTATCAATTTAAAATAAAGAATTATAATGTGAATGGATAGACAAAAAATGCAGAAAGTTTGAAAGAGATTCTGAATAAAGTTGTGAAACCAAAAATAAAGTAAATGTTTCTGTTTGTTAAAATTAAAATGGATTCTGTTAATATGATGAAAGCTAATAAAAATGTAAGTAAATTGATAAAAATCATATTCATTCTATTTAATGTAATTCACCAGGATTGTCAAAATTAGCTTGTTTATCAATTAATAATTAAAATTGTTCATTTTTTAATGGAAAATGTTAAGAATTATCAGATTAAGATCTTAATATTTATTAATGCCATATGGAACTTAATAAATATGCTTGTGTTAATATTAAAACTCATTTTTAATATTGCTTTTGGAATGGAAATAATTGTGAAAGAAGGTTTATGAATTAAGATTATGATTGTCCTTTAAAATTAAATAATAATGATATAAGAGTAAATGGAAATGTTTGTTAAGCAATATCTAAATATTAGAAGAAATGCAAATATGATTAATCAATAAATTTATGTATAGAGAGTTCAACAATGGATAAATGCAATACTCCTTTTATTAATAAATTTGGTTGTCTTAGTATCATTAAAAATAAGGAAGCATGTTAATGGACAATGTAAGGTTGTAAGAATGTTTAGGTTATAAAATATATAACAACATGTAATAGTTTGGGAAGTGCAAATCCAATTGCATGTTCTTAAGTTCTAGAAATTGATGAGAAGTTGGGTTGTTATTTTAATATTTTAAAACAATAATGTCTTAAATTAAGTGTTGAATAAGCTCCAAATTCAACAAAACAGGAAATAATATAATATCAAAAAGATTTAGAAATGTTAAGAAATATAGATTGTAATGATATTGGAATTGGTTTAAATCCAATAGCTTGTTCATCTATTACAACAAGAGGTGTAGCTTGTAGATGGAATAGAGATTCATGTGTTAAAATAGAAAATAAAAAAGATATTTAAACAATTCCATGTTTAAATCTAAAATATGCTAATTATAAAGCATGTTCTTATGTATAATATGGTGGAGAAGTTTGTAGATATTCATAAACTATTAAGGGATGTATAAATTCTATTATTAGGAATATGTAATGTAATCAATTAGGTTTAAATCAATTTGGATGTTCATTAGCTGAAGGTATGTGTTAATTTATAAATGATTAATGTTAATAATCAGATGGAGGTGATATAAATACAGATCCAATTTAACAAACTGGAAATTAAGTAGAAATTCCAAAACCTACAGAATCTCCAGAAACATGTGAAATTACATCACCTACTAAAACAGTTTGTGTTTCTTTTTCATCTATTTCATTATTATGTTAATGGAATAAATAAAAGAGTAGTTGTGAAAGTGTTGAAATAAAATAAAATTCATATTGTGCTGATTATAATGGAATTGATGTATCTGTTAATTCTAATGTTTGTGCATCAATTATATGTGATTTTCCTGATTATAATTATCTCAAAGGAGTTTAAGCAGATAAAAATAGAGGATATTGTTATTATAATAAATTAACATTTTAATGTTAAATTAAAAAAGAATTTTGTAACACTAAGTGTTGTACAGAAAGTGAGAATTATGGAATAAATGCACATTCTTGTATTAAATTCTCAAGTAATGAACCTGGTGATTATTGTTACTTTATGAATTTAAGATGTAATGAATTGACAGATGACATTGTGGATTTATCAAATCTAGATTAAATCAAATTATATTTTAATGAAAATAAATTACCTTGTTCTTCTATGAATAAGAATTCTTGTTATATGATTGATTGGTCATTAGAATAACGCTGCTATTTTAATGGAATAGTATGTTTAAATCTCAATTATTCTTATTATAAGGATTATAGTATATTCACTTAAGAACCATCAGTCTTAAATGAGTATGCTTGTTTAGCTATTGATGGTCTTATAACTGAATAAAATACAATGAAATATTTTGGATATGATTATGTTAATAAAAGATGTAAAGAGATTTTATTAGATCCATAGTTTTAATTTGCTACTTGTGAAGATGTAAAAGGTAATAGAAATATCTGTTAAAGATACACAGTTAATAGTTATTGTAAATGGGATTGGAAATAATTAAAATGTATTACTATACCTTTAGATGAATATGAAGAAATTTAAACATGTGATATTGATCTAAATATAAAAGCATGTACTGATATTAAAAAAAGTAGTTGTCATTTTTCTTATACTACTGATAGATGCACTGATGTTATTGATTTTAATGTTGATTGCAATCATTTTGAAACATTAGGTAAAGTAAGTTGGTAAGTATGTTCATAAATCATCAAATTTGGATAATCGTGTGAATTTCGTAATTATACATGTGTGGATTCAACTAAAATTTCATAATCTTGTGATGGTTCCTTAGCAAATAACAGATCTTGTTTTAAAAATACTAAAGGATTATGTAGATGGGATCCTATAACTTTTTAATGTTATATAAATCATTAAGATATTTCATTATTATCTTGTTCAGATAATATTAATATTGAATTATGTAAATAGATAACAAAAGATGCTTGTATTTGGAATGATGTATCAAATGAATGTCAAGTATTTAATACTATGAATTCAACAGATTTTGAAATTCTAAATAGTACTGGAAATCATAAATTCAATGAAAAAGCATGTTTATTAATAACAGGAGATGCGTATTATTATGACACAATTACATAGATATGTACTAAACTGACATCTAAAGAAGTAGATTGTGCTACATATCAATTAAATAAATATGCTTGTTTATATCATACTAGAACTCATCATTGTTTTTTTGATGAAGATGAAGTTGTACCTAATAAGAAATGTAAACCATTTATTGAAGAATAATCAATATGTACAACAAAATGGTAAATTAATATAGAAGTTTGTATGGATATATAACAAACTTGTATATTTGATTTAAATACATTTTAATGTAAGCCATTTGATTTCTTAGAAACTATGACATGTTCAGATTTATTAAATTATTCAACAAATTTATAACATCCTAATAAAAGGGTTTGTTCATCTGTTGTTTCAACATTAGAAGAAAGTTAAGGAGAATTATTATGCTTTGAAGATAAATTTGATTAATAATAATGTAAATTCTAAAAGTATTGTTTTTGGTCAAATTATGCATGCAAATTTTTTAAGCTTGTATATGATACAAAAGATTCAGCAAGTGTACAATAATAAACAATAAAAGAATGTCCTGATTATGAAGAAATAGATACATGTACTGAGGAAGTTGTTAAGGATACTACTTAATCATATAGTAAAGAAAGGAAATCAAAAACTGAAAATTATTGGGAATGGGTAAATTCAACATGCATCTAACATATTACTATATATAAAAGAGAACATACTTATTATTAAACTGCTGAAAATATAAAATTCTGTGATATACGTGATTGTACAATAATAGAAGAATACATTTGTAATGCTGAATCAGTTCTTGAAATAATAAGTCCATTTAATGAAGTTAATACATATATGTCTGATACTTCTTACTATAAAATTTAAGCAAATAGTGATGAAAATAATTGCTAGAATTTAGATTGCAGTTAATTATCTGAATATATGTGCAATACTGCTAAAAATAATTGTTTACAATAGAATTCATGTTAAATACAATTGGATTATCCATATGATTCTTCATTCTAAGGAGATTGTTTGCCAGAAAAAAATTATATTTTTTCTCATTGGTGTCATTTAAAGGAAAATAAAGTAAGTATATGTAGTAATACTTTTTCAAAAGCATTGTGCTTAGAAATAAGTCAAAATTGTATATTTGATATCCAATAAGGAGGTTGTATGTAATCAATAGGTAATGAACATAACATTGTGGATTGTAGTTAAATTGCAAATAGCTGTTACATTAGTTCAAGTTCAAGAGCTATATGTTAAAATGGAGAATCTAGTATTAAACCTGGTGATCAATGTAAAACAGTATAAAAACCATTTACAAGTTGTGTACCTCTAACAACATATTAATCATCATTTCTTTGTTCAGATATATTGAATACAGATGCTTAACCCATTCTATGTTCAAAGGCTAATGATGATTGTAGATTTGATGGAAAAGTATGTATAACTACAATGCCCACATAAAAATTAGATGGAAAATATCCTTGTGATAAAAGTTTTAGTAAATCAATATGCATTAAATGTGGATGCGATTACAATTATTTAGGTTATTGTTAAGAAACTAAATAAATACCTTAAGTAAATTTAGATAAATCAAATAAATATTTCTTATGTTATTAAGTGAATATATTAAATTCAACTAATAAAATGGAAATATGTGGAAAAGTTGATTAAGCTTGTGCATATGTTGGAACTGATTGTTATGATGCTACTCATTATTCATGTAGTGATCTATTATAGTATACAGTTTCATTAAAAGCATGTTAGAAATGTGAAGAATATGCAACTAAATATGATCCTATTGAATAGAAATGCAATAAAATTGATAATAATATTGTAAATTCTTGTGATAATTTAAATTAATATGCTTGTCTTAGAAATACTAGGGGAGTCAAATGCAAATGGGATAATTTTAATTGTTAATCAGTATTAATATCAAAAAGTGATAATATTTAATGCTCTATTTTAAATTTTGATGCTTGTTATAGTTAATAACTCAATATTTGTTGGATTGATTAAACAACTTCTTTATGTGTTAATTATGATCCTTATAAAGGAGTATGTGATTTATTAAAAACTGAATCACTTTGTGTAAGATCTATGTATGAGAATTGTAAATGGACTTAAAATAAATGCATAAAGAATACTGAAATACCTAATAATACTTGCAATAATTTAAATTAATATTTATGTCTAAATGCAACAAATATAGCATGTGGATGGTCAGATTTGTATGAAAAGTGTTATCAATTATAATTTAAATCATAACCTACTTCATGTATTGATTTTCTTTAAAGTGATTAATAAGCATTTATAAATCGTTGTAATTCTTATACTTGTACTTAAATTAAAGTTTAATAGGGTTGTATTCATGACTAATATTATAAATGTAGATTAATTATTCCCCTTGATGTTATCTCATGTTAAGTAGCATCAATTTCTAATATTAATGAATTTGCATGTGCTAAATTAGCTAAAGGAAAGTGTAAGTTTATAAATAGTGTATGTGAAAAAACAATAGAATCTAATTTAGGTTGTTAATCTTATTTGAACTAAGAAGCTTGTTTATATTAAAATGCTGCTTGTAAATTTGATATATATTGTTAATCATATACTATAACATCTATGAATGGAATTAAAACTCTCTTTCCTTACACTTCTAGTGTATGTAAAACTGCTAATTTAATTGTTAAATCAATAGATGGTAATATGGATATTGGTGTATCTTTAATTTATGGTGTGGCATAATAAAAATGTTTAGATATTACTTATAAAAATATGGTAATCAATTCATGTACTTATACAGGAATGAATAAGTACTCATGTTTATTAAAGACAAATCAATTTTGTGAATATAAGGATAATTAATGTAGAAATATTGAGTAGAAAGTAATAAATACATTAAAAACATGTAATTCAACTTTAAATTAATTTTCATGTACTAGATTAAATATGTCATGTAAATTTTTAAATGGTGAATGTGGTCCAATAAATGAAAATGATAACTGTATTAGTTTATCATAAGAAAAATCTATTGTAAATTTTAGAACTTGTTTAAGAGATTAATAAACAGCTTGTATGTTTAATGATAAAACATAGAATTGTGAAGTTATTACAACACCTTAAAATTGTAAAGATCTAAATTATAAGGGTTGTATATTTTTTACATAAGGATACAATTGTGAATTTAAAGAATCTAAATGTATTACATCTTTTGGTAATCCTAATTGTGAGGATGATATTAATGAAGATAAATGTTTATCAATAATTACTAAAGGTCAATATTGTTATTTTAATTCTAAACTTGGATGCAAATATATTGATACTACAAAAGTTGATCTCACTAAATGTTATAAAGATGGATTGTAAACTAATCCATTTACATGTTCATAAAGTTAAGATATTCCATGCTTTTTTGATAAATAAACTAAATAATGTATTCAATATACTGATTAAACACCATCTAGTTATTAATAAAATTATACTATATCTAATATATCTTCATTTAATAAGATGACATGTTAAATGTTTAATTAATTTAAAGCTCTTATGTGGTAAGAAACTTGTTAAGTAGTTAAAAGTTCTTAATTAGTTTATTTAAAATGTGATGCTCTTTTGAATAGAATAGCATGTTTAAGTATAAAGACACCTTTTTAATTTTGTTAATATATAAATAATTAATGTATTAATGCTAATTTAGATGATTTTAAAAATGTTTAATGCGATTAAATAAGGGATATAAATTCTGGAGCATTTTGTGCTTTAAATACTAATTCTTAACCTTGTCAATATAATAAGTCATCATTTAAGTGTGAGATTATAGATAGTACAATTATAAGTTGTGTTGAAAAAGATCCAGAAGAGAAAGGAATAAATAAAAAAGGTTGTGAGATTGATAAAATAAATTGTATTTATGATGAAAATTGTTATAGATTAAATAATAGTGGATATCAATTTTGTAGAGATATAAAAATTGATGGTTAATTTTAATGTAAATAAGTAACAAGTGAAGGATGTTTAATTGATTAAAATATCTGTAAAAAGATTTATTATTAAGATTACAGTTAAATTAAATGTGAATAAGCTAGTAATCGATTTGGTTGTGTTAATATTTAAACATAAAATCAATATTGTTAATTTGATGGGGAAGATTGTAAAGAATAAAATGTAAAATAATTTACAGATATTGGTTGTTTAAGTATAATAAATATTAATCATTATTCATTTTGTGAATAACCAAGAGATATAGCTTGTACTTTTGATTTAAAGAATAGTTCATGCAGAAATGTATATTAATAAGAAGTATTTTCTTGTGAAAGAGGATTGAATAAGATAGCTTGTTTAACTTAAACAACAAAGAGTTTAATGTGTTAATTTCTTGATTATTGTTATGGTCCTAATAATGGAATTCTGAATTGTACTTATAATAATAATGAATAATGTTGTAAATTAGCAGATTAAATTGATACATGTTTAAATTAAAAGAAATATGAGTGTGAATGGACAGTAAATGGATGTTAAGCTTATTAAACTAAAATAGTATAATGTGAGTAAATAATAAATGCAAGCTTTTTGGTTTGTGCTTCAATTAAAAATACATTATGTGTATATGTACCTAATTAACATAATTGTCAAATATAATTACCAACTACTTGTGGTTTTTCTTAAACAAGTTTATAATGTAAAAGAATGAAGTCAGTTTCATGTATATGGGATATAGAAAGAGAAATTTGTATATATTCAGAGAATTCTAATTATTTAAGTTGTACTGAAGTGAGTTAATAATCTGGAAATTAAAGAGCATGTATGAATGTTGAAGTATAAGGTTAATTATGTATTTACAAAGATGAATAATGTACTCTCTTTTTATAATAAGAAAATATTAATAATTGTTTAGATTCAATTAATAAAAATGCATGTTTATAATAAACTATAAGTGATTGTTAATGGATTCAATAAGTATATTAAGTTAAGAAATTTGAATATTCAGATTATGAAGATGTAGTATAAGGTGAATGTAAACCAATTTCTAATATTAATTAAACTCATTGTTCTTAAAATATTAGTTATACAGCTTGTATGAAAATAAAGAAAATTGGATAATTTTGTATATGGAAAGATTTTTCATGTTAAGAATTAAATTAATTAGAATTATATACACCTAATTAATTGATATTAGTTAATTAAAATGCATGTAGTTTAGTAAATAATGGAGATATAGTAAAATATAATTAATTATTTAAAAATTGTGAAATTGTTGAAAATCTAAATGAATTAACTTGTAATCCTGAAATTTTTGGAATTAATAAAGAAGCATGTATTTCCATAAAAAATTAACCATGTACTTGGTATAGTATTGATAAAAGATGTTAATATTTAGATATCTAAAATGGATTATAAACTTGTGAATAAGCTGATAAGAATTCAATCTCATGTTCAAAATTTGATATTGATTAACCTTGTGGATATTCTAATTTAGGTTGTCAATTTGTTGATATAAATTCTATTCCTTGTACTTATTCTGGTTTAAATAAATATGCATGTTTAAATATTTTAAAATATTCTTGTATTTGGAAATATAATGAACAAACTTAAAATTATTATTGTGATGAATATATTCCTTATACATCATGTTAATTGATACCTAATAATGTTAATCCAAAAGTTTGTTAATTAGTTGAATAAGATGCTTGTTATTATGATATTAATTAAAAATAATGTAAAAATACAGAATTAAAAATATTAAATTGTGAAACATTAGGCTTAAATATTAAAGGTTGTATTGAGATTGATGGATGTATATTTTAAGAATCTTGTAAAAGTTTAAATAAAAAAAATTATTTATGTAATGAATATCCAATTGCTAATTATAATGTTTGTAAGAATGCATAAGATAATTGTAAATTTAATGAATTAACATTTGGTTGTATATAATCTAATGAAGAATTATGTGATACTAAAGGATTAAGTTAATAAGGTTGTATTGAAAATAATTGCTAATTTATTAATAATTAATGTAAATGTAATGAGAATTTTAAAGATATAGATTGCGATTAAATAAATGAAATTGAAAAATGTAATTCTCATGATCATTGTATATATAATTAGAATATTTGTAAATGGAAATAATGTGAAGATCTATCATATACTGATTGTAAGGATATATAGATCAATTAATAATATTGTTATTAAAATACTTTTTAATAATGTAAATCTGCAAAATTATGTGAAGATATTCAAAATCCAGCTTCAATATAACTTTATTTAAATAAAAAAGCTTGTATTTTTAATTCAGAGTTATAATTATATTAACTTATAAATTGTTAAATACTTGATCAATAAAAATGTTTAAGTTATCCAAAAGATTGTAAATTTGAATAATTTTGTCAATCTCTAACTTGCTATGACTTAAATTATAATAATTGTACTTCAGATAATTGTATTTGGAATCTTAAATAGGGAATCTGTGAAGAATAAATTCAATGCTCTAATATATCAGATTAAAATTAATGCAATTTAATGCAGTATAAGAATAGAAAATGTTAATGGGTTACATAAAAAAATGAATCATTTTGTACAAACTCATATTGTAAATTCTTGACAACAAAATAATATTGTAATGGAGTATAGGTTAATGGAGAGATTTGTGTCAAAACATATGGTGATAGATGTATTTCTTGTGAAGAAATTTAAAATTCTTGTATCTGTCTATAAAACAATTAATAATGTGATTACGATTTTAATAAAAGTAAATGTAAATCCAAAATATGCTCAAATTATTTTGAAGAAGGATAATGTCCCAAAGAACATTGTGATTTTTAACAAAATGTACTATTTTATATTTATTAAGTGTATTCCAAAATGTGAATATATTATAGAAGAAGAAATATGTCAGAAAAATAATAAATGTGATTGGTAGAATTCAGGATGCAAATAAAAGATAGAAAATATTAAACCTAAAATCGAAGTTTGGGGATTAATAAACATATTTACTTTAAGCATTTGTATTCTTTATTTTTGATTTTATACATAAAAATTATATCAAAATTAATTATTTGATTTCTCTTATTGAAATATTAATATCAATTTATCAATCTCTTTTTACATGTACATTTTAGAGGTTGATGATTATATCTTATGCAAAAATGTGAATATTTATAATAATGTATGTGAAAAATCTATTAAACCTTAATCATTTTAGACTCTACTTATTATTTTGCATTAGAATATATTTTACTATTAAATTATTTTAATAATTTATAATCATATATTTAGTAGTTCATAGTTTATTTCATAATTAAACTAAGTATATTAAAGGATATTTAAATATTAATAATATCAAATTAAATGTTGTTAAAAATATAGAAAATTAATTCTGTAAACTAGATAATAAACAAATTGTCTAAATCTTATGCAGAAAAATAAGTAAAAGAACTTCTAAAAGATTTAAATTGAATAGATGGAGATATTTATTTATATTAAATATTAATCTATGTATCTAATCAATTATTTCAATCCTATAATAATTTTATGTAATAATGATAAATTTAATATTAAATTTCTTAAACTTTAGTTAATCAATTCAGAATTAGAATGAGAGTTAATTAAACAAAATATTTAACAATAAAATAATATTATATTGATTATTAATTATCTCTCTATATATTTAATTAAGAAATAGTAGTTAAATGATGTTTAAGTAATTTTTAAAGATTTTTCAATATTAATTGAGTAATTTAAATAGAAATATTGCATAAATATTTGATTTAACGGTTAATGATATAAAAATGTAGATTATTTTTATTAAATTATAAAATATTATTAATATCGATTTAGATAATCAATATATATAATTTTCTATCATCTATTGATTTTAGATTAAGTTTTTCATACTTTACAATTATCAATAATGTTTGTTATATTATTCAAAATTTAAATAAATTGTATTACAAATAGGATTAGTTTAATATAATTTAATGAATAATAATAAATAATATTATGATTTTCAGACCATTACTCATTGAAACTTGTAAATATAAATACTAATCGGGAAGTGAAGAGAAATCATTCTCAATAAAAAAAAAAGTTGATTACTATCCTTACTTTAGATAAAAGGTGGCCAGTCAATCATTTCATATAGAATCTCATACTTCCAATAAAAAGAAATCAAAAAGATAAATGACATTGAATCAAAAATTAGGAAATTCAGATATTAATATATAATAATATATTGAGTTTAATGTATAAATTTGAAGAAATTAGATTAAAGAAAAGCCTTTGAATAGTCATATTAATTAAAGAGTTAGATAACTTATTATATAGGATAACAAATTAATGAGAAAATAAAATAAAATAAAAACATTTGCTGAAATACTTACTCAATAACATAAATCAATTCATTAGAAATAAATGAAAAGGTAGGTTTTATCAATGTTAGATTAGGGACCACTTTTTAGAAAAGTTGAAAGTCCTTAATTAAGTCCAAAAACTTAATCATAATTATAATAACAATAATAACAATTATAATTATAATCAAAAACATAATAAAATAATGCAGAATAATAAATATAAAATAAAGTTTAAAATTATTTATCTAGAAAAAGTGTTAATCTCTAACGACTTTCATAAAGAATGGATGATATTAATATATCTAAAAGATCTATTTTATACACTAGTTCAGCTGAGAGAGATTTAAAGATTTCCTCTAGATTTTTTAAAGATTTTATTGGTGTATCATAATAATTAAAGAATAAGGAGAAATAAGATCCAGAATTATTAAAAGAATCATATAAATATTGGGCATAAGCCATAAAAACTAAAAAGGATCCATAAAAGAAAAAGAAAGTAGGAGCTGTATTTAGTACATCAGTAAGAATGAAACTAGAAAAAATGAGAGCTTTAATTTTAGATTGTGTTAAGAAATTAAGATTTATGAAATTAGATCCTGAATTGTTAATGTAAAATAGAACAATATTAAAAAATCCATATTAAAGAGAAGGTTCTTATGTATTTTTTAAAGGAGTTACCAAAAATGATTTGGATTTAGTAAAATTGATGCTTGATAAATGTAGATTTTATGCTTTTGATGTAAATGAGAATTTCTAGACAGCATTACATATATGTTCAAGAAAAGGACATTTATAAATAGCAAAAATGTTATTTTAACATGGAACTTACCCTGATGTAAGAGATGTTAGTAATAGAACTCCATTATATTATGCACTTATTAATAATCAAAAAGAATTAGTATAACTATTATTATCACATAAATGTAATCCTTGGTCATTTTCTGGTTGTACTTATGAAACTGATGATCCAATATTAACAAAAATGTTAAAAATAGCCAGAAGAGTAAATATATAATTATATATGAGTAGCTGGATATGTTATTGATGATGACACCATATAATACAAGATAATAAACTTGGATTAATTATTGTAGAGTTTTCTATGAATTTTGATTATAAATTAATAATAAAATATTTAAATTTTTATCGTATAGAAATGAGTAAATTCAATTATATTTTCAAACCATTGTCAATAGATACATATGAATATAGTTATATGGATGGAAAAACAGAGAAATCATTTACAATTAAAAGAAAAACATCATTAAGAGAAGGAAAGAGTGTAATGTAAAAAAGTGAACCTATTGCCTAATTTAATGTATATAATTATTATATAATTATAGAATGATACAATTTAACAAAGTCATAAAAGAGCTTAAACAAGTAGACGAATGTAATAATCTTCGTAACCTAGAAATTCATCTATAAATTCTAATACTCCTAAAATAGCAATTAGAAAAATTGATAGTAGAATGGAAAATGAATTTGAAATTTCAGATAGAAGAAATTCAATTTAAAAGAGATCATTTAATATACCTTAAATAGATTATCTTAATTTTAATGTATATATTATTTAACAAAATAGTTAAATAGATAGCTATTATGAATGGATAAACTAGTAGATCCTTTCCAAAAGCATTAGAATTAATAAATAGAGACAATAAACTTTTAAGAAAAAAATAAGTTGATAATTCTAAAACTTTGTAAACTATTGAAAATGAAATCAAATAATATGAACGTTTAGAAAATTGTCATCCTTTAAATATCAAAGAACATATTGGAAAAATGCTTATAATTAATGAAAAGAGAACTCCTATAAGGTAAAGAAATAAAGAAAGAGAGGCTTTTACAAGAAATTTATAATTTCTTGAAGAATCTTTTTAATAATAGACAGTTCCTGAGAAAAGATTACAAACAGTTATTTAATAATATTTTGATAAAAAGAAAACATTTTTAGAAGAAAAAGCAAAATAAGAAGAAATTTAATAAACTTAATTATAAGAGGAAACTATTAAAATAAATATAAATAAAGGCAAAATGAGAATGTCAACAACATTTTTAAAGAGATTTATTCATTAAGTTGAATAAGAAAAATAATTAAAGGTTGAATAAAATTAGAATATTGAATAATAATATAACATTTGTGAATCATCATAAAATATTGAATCATAATAATAATAAATAGAAACTTAAAAGAGTCATATTTTATCTATAAAATCATCTCAAAAAAATAAAAAAAGATAAAATTCTATATATAGTGGACAAGTTAGATCTATATTCAAAAGAATGTTTCATTTAATTGTTGATTGTGTTAAAAAAATGAAATAAATGAAACTTACAATAAAAGAATTATTTTAACATGGTGTAATTTAAAAGAAACCTTATGAAAGATAAGGATCTTTCTAATTTTTTGAAGCTGTTGAAAATAATAATTATGGTCTTGTTAATTTTATGTTACATAAATGTAGATATTATGCATTTGATATTAATGAATAAGGATAAACACCTTTACATATGAGTTCAATATAAGGTTATTATAAAACAACAGAAAGATTATTATAATGTGGAGCTTATCCTGATTCTTAAGATCTTAAAGGATTTTCTCCACTCTATTATGCTATTTAATATTAAAATAGTTAAATAGTTTAATTATTATTATTTTATGATGCTAATCCTTGGTCAAATAGTAAATATAAATTAGATACTCAAAATAATGTAATAAAAAAATTATTGAAATAATCAAGAAAAGTATATATAAATATATATTTAATTTTTAGATTCATTTATTACTTTTATTAACTAAACATTCAGAAAGAGATCAAATTTGGATAAATTCAAGAGAATCTTTGTTATCTTGATTGTAATATTTTGATTCGGAATTCATAACAAAAATTAGAATTTATAAATATTTATTATAAGTTCGTTATTCCAAATTTTATATAATTAATAGATTATCTCTATAATTATAAGTATAAGAGGTATAACTGAAATCTATATAGTATATTTTCATATAATAATAATAATAAAAACACAAAATAATAAACAAATAAACAAAAATATCAAGGCATTTCAATTTCTCCATATTCAAGCAATCTCTTTTCATATAGAAAATAATATTGTTCATCTATAAACAATTAATGGTCCATTAACTCCAAAAATTCTTATTCAAGAATAAATATTTCTTTAACACTTATTCCACCTACTTTTGCATAATATTCATTTTTATAATAATCATCATCTTGGTATTTTATGGCCATTACAATTGCTAACAAGAGGAATCTTTATAATTTATATAATACTACTACCTATGTATACATTTAGAATTAAGCACTAAATAAGGATGTTTTTCTTATAATCTATCTAAGTAAATTAATGCAATAACAAAACATTATTCACTACAATGAGTATATTTTGCAATTCTTTATAAGTAATTGTGAATTGATATTGAAGGTGCTTTGTTAGCATGGAAATATGATTGTGATTCTTATTCAATTTCTAAAGTATCTGTTTCTTTAATTATTTCATCTAAGATATTTGCTACTGTAACTAGTAACTAATTCGATTGTTGCATTAATAGATATAATTTTCAATATTTATATTTTTACTTTACAATTACATTAAATAAATGGATCTTCAAATATCATATCAATAAAAAACTTTTAAGCTTTTAAACTTAAAGACTTTGATTTATCATTTAAGACTTACACTAAAAGACTAATAATAATATAACTCTATATAAATAATATGTATATTAAAAAAAAACTATGTACATTATTTATATGAATAATCTTTTAAAAATAATATAAAAGTAATATTATTGATTATTAATTATTGATTAGAGATTTGTGAAACAGTTAATTAATTAATTAAAGAAGAAAATCATGAGTATAATAAAATATAACTCTTTAAATGAGAATAATTAAAAGAATTGTAAGATTTATAACAATTTCATTAAGAAAATACTTTGATTAATCAAAATTTTTTGGATTAGAATTAAGTTGATAATTTATTTTTTATGGACAATGAATCTCATTAATATTAAATATTGAATTTTGTGNTATTAACTAAACATTCAGAAAGAGATCAAATTTGGATAAATTCAAGAGAATCTTTGTTATCTTGATTGTAATATTTTGATTCGGAATTCATAACAAAAATTAGAATTTATAAATATTTATTATAAGTTCGTTATTCCAAATTTTATATAATTAATAGATTATCTCTATAATTATAAGTATAAGAGGTATAACTGAAATCTATATAGTATATTTTCATATAATAATAATAATAAAAACACAAAATAATAAACAAATAAACAAAAATATCAAGGCATTTCAATTTCTCCATATTCAAGCAATCTCTTTTCATATAGAAAATAATATTGTTCATCTATAAACAATTAATGGTCCATTAACTCCAAAAATTCTTATTCAAGAATAAATATTTCTTTAACACTTATTCCACCTACTTTTGCATAATATTCATTTTTATAATAATCATCATCTTGGTATTTTATGGCCATTACAATTGCTAACAAGAGGAATCTTTATAATTTATATAATACTACTACCTATGTATACATTTAGAATTAAGCACTAAATAAGGATGTTTTTCTTATAATCTATCTAAGTAAATTAATGCAATAACAAAACATTATTCACTACAATGAGTATATTTTGCAATTCTTTATAAGTAATTGTGAATTGATATTGAAGGTGCTTTGTTAGCATGGAAATATGATTGTGATTCTTATTCAATTTCTAAAGTATCTGTTTCTTTAATTATTTCATCTAAGATATTTGCTACTGTAACTAGTAACTAATTCGATTGTTGCATTAATAGATATAATTTTCAATATTTATATTTTTACTTTACAATTACATTAAATAAATGGATCTTCAAATATCATATCAATAAAAAACTTTTAAGCTTTTAAACTTAAAGACTTTGATTTATCATTTAAGACTTACACTAAAAGACTAATAATAATATAACTCTATATAAATAATATGTATATTAAAAAAAAACTATGTACATTATTTATATGAATAATCTTTTAAAAATAATATAAAAGTAATATTATTGATTATTAATTATTGATTAGAGATTTGTGAAACAGTTAATTAATTAATTAAAGAAGAAAATCATGAGTATAATAAAATATAACTCTTTAAATGAGAATAATTAAAAGAATTGTAAGATTTATAACAATTTCATTAAGAAAATACTTTGATTAATCAAAATTTTTTGGATTAGAATTAAGTTGATAATTTATTTTTTATGGACAATGAATCTCATTAATATTAAATATTGAATTTTGTGAGTATGATAATCATAAACAAATAAATCAAATATTTTGTACTCAATTTTTGAGATTGCTGAAATAAGTATATATTACTTATATTGGAAATATCATTTATCGAATATAATTAAAATTAATATCATATTCTTAAATTAACTTTAAAAGAATTATTTAGATTGTGTGAAATTTGTTTATTTGAATGTAATTATTTTATAATTTAAGATTAGGTATCTATAATCAATTATAAAATAATAGAAATTTATTATTGCTCTAAAAATATTGAAAACATCTCCAATTATCTGTTTTCACATCTAGTTTATTGTTTATAAGTCTATAAATATCTAGGGTTTAGATATCATTATAGAAATTAAGAAATTATCTAATGAATAAAAATTTGTTGCCATTTATTTTAAATTAAAATCTTTAATTTTTAAAATGATCATAAAAGTTGGTCACCTCAATGGTGAAGTTAAACTATATGATTTGGCTGATTCAACCTCAGCTGGTCATTTAATGTAACTTATTCAATCAGAATTGGGTTGTGAAGTTTCATTAGTCAACTCTGGAGAAGCTGTAGCAGCATCTGCATTATTAGGTATTTACAACCACTCATTAATTATAGGTAGTGATGGAATTTATTATGTAACTGTTGATGCAGAAGGAGGTAAGAAGAAAAAGAAGAAGAAGAAGAATTTTGCTAAACCCAAAAAGAAGAAGCATAGACACCGAAAAGTAAAATTGGCTACTCTTAAGCTATATACCATTGACAATAAAGGCGCTGTTTAAAGATCTCACAAACAATGCCCATAATGTCCATAAGGTGTATATATGGCTAAGCATTTTGATAGACACTATTGTGGTACATGCCATTAAACATTTAGAATGGATGAAGCAACTGTAAGAATTTATTAATAATAATTAGATCAAAGCCAATTTGGAAGCCATTAAAAAATAACAAGCAGCTAAAGCAGCAGCTGCCGCAGCCGCAGCCCCAGCAGGAGGAGCTGCAGCTGGAGGTGCCGCAGGTGGTAAAAAAGGAAAGAAAAAGTGATGATCAGTATAATAATATTAAATATGTTATTGAACAATCCTTATTTAGCATTTATATGTTGTTAGAATTTAAAGTAGAGTAATACATTCTTTATTTAATTGTTAAACTAATTATTTATATTAATATTTTTAAATATAATTATTAATCTAAGAAATAATATTTTTAAAAATATAGTATCTAAACAGAACCATATAATTATTATTGTTTAAATTTAAAATTTATAATGTTAAATGGATCTATATTCTAAGAATTTATGTTTAAAAATTTTATGAATAGTATTTTTTATCGTTATTGAATTTTTTTTGGATTTATTACATTTTTATTAATAATTATTTTGTTTTTTGTGCTTAAATAGCAATAATAACAAAAAAGAAATCTGTCTTAATTATTATGATTGAATTAAAAATATTTAGTTTGATTCTATACTTATAAAATCATTTTATTACATAATTATTATTACTTTTTAATATAATAATTTAATTTAGATGATTAAAGCTATATATTAAAAATTAAATGATATAATCAATCATTACATAGATTTATATTAATTATATATTAATTTTTGAATTCTTTTTCCAGATATAAAATGTTTATAAAGAAAATAAAATATAATTTGATTTATTATTATATCATATGAGTGTAATTATAATTCATTCTTGTTCTATTAATTATTTATTATCCATAACAACTTTAAACTAATTTAAATTGTTATAATAAAATTTTGATTCAATATTCTCATACTATTATAAATCCTTATAATTGATACAATTATTTAGAAATTTATCCCATGATAAGTAGTTTTGATATTAGATTTATTCTCAATAATGGATTATATAATTGAAATTGATAAAATAATTTTTATGTTAGTTAATAACTAATTAACCAGGATTCCATTTATTTAATTCATTTAGAGATTTCCAAAGTTGATTTTTTAATTATTTATTATTCAATTCTTGAAAACATTGTATGAAATAATTTAAAATAATCCAAGCCTTCAATAAGTTTTAAATAATAATAATTGTAAATTTTATTAATATATTTATGAAATAGATTCTTTCTTAGAGTTTTACACCTGAAACAGCACCAACACTGTTTAGATAGCAATCAGAAAGACCTGCTTTATTGTCAAAGTAGCGAAATCATAAAGAATGTGATGCAAAAGATTTATACACTTTAATTGTCAATAACCATATAATAAAAGAGATTGGGATTATTAATTTCTTTAAAGAAGAAGATAGAGAATCAATTTTTAAAAATCATATTGTTAATTACGTAATCTAAATAAGAACAGATTATATTGATTATACAATTCCTAAGAGATATTCTGAATTTGAGAAATTATACGATTCAGTAAATAAATCAAATGAAATTTAGTTACCAATTTCTTAGAAAAACATGCCTAAGTTTCCTTCAAAAAAAGTTATATAAACAAATTCTAAAAAAACAATTGCTAAAAGATAAGAAATGCTACAAAGTATAATATAAAAGTAATTAGAATTTTTATAATATTTGTTACATCATTTAGACCATTCATTATATATGTTTTTGGACTTTATAAAAATTAAAGGTATTAATAAAAAAATAAAAAAATCTTAGAATAATTTTAGAAAGGTGGTTTTGATTAAAATGTTAAAATGCATTAATTTAGTAAAGATGAAAATGCATTGTATGATTTATTAGAAACAAGTCCAAAAAAAATATAACCTAATAATTAAGCTGAATCAATGATATTTCTTTATTTATAGAAATTAAATGATACTATTAATGAAAGAGGCAAAATATTTTAGTAAATCATTAAAAATTTATATTTTTAGAAAGATGGAAAAATACTATTTTGGTAAAATATAATAAATATCTCCTTTACTTTTAAAAGTATTATTTATTGGAGATGATGAAAGAGAACTTTAAGGAATAATATAAATGTTATCAATTTAAACTAATGATATGTAAAATCATATTAGTTGTATTAATGGATTCTAATTCTTTAGAAAAATTTTGGAATATGATTATAATCCAAGTAATATTATTAAAAAATATTTATTAGATGCTGAATAAGCAATTAAGTTATTAAGTGAAATAAGCATTAAATAATTTAGAACAATGAAAATATAATCTCATATTTGTGGACAATAAAAATTATGTAAATAAGATTCATTAATGATTCTACATAAATACATTCAATAAAATCAATTGAAAAATTAAATGATTAATTATTTATTAGTTGATGATGAAGCTATTAGAGAATATGATTGTTATGTTTAGAAATAAATGAATAAAATTAATGAAGAAGTTAAATAAGTAAGAGATAGCAATGAAAATTTATAAGAATTATTACCTACAAAATCAAATTCTATTGAACATCCTATATTAGAATAAGATCCTACACTTGATTAATTAATTGAAATAAGTTAAATGAATTTAAATTGGAAATATGTTTAAGGTAATTTTATTATAATTATATTAAGAATGTGAAAGACACACTATGTATCATCTTTAAGGATAATTTATTAAAACAATTCATCCAATTGAATGTTCTATTGAAAGAGCTATATAAATATTTACTGATCTTAAATAATAATGGTTTCATGGAATGATATAGAAAGATATATTAGAATAGATTAATGAAAATAAAAGTGTTATTGTTGAATATTTTGTTTGGGAAGATAAATCAACCTTTAAGAAAATGGCATTTATTAGTGATTAAGAAATTCTTAAAATTAATGATTCTACATATTAAATAACTATTGTACCAAATAATAAATAATAATTGCCAAATCATTATAAATTGAAATGTGATTAAAAAGGTATTTAAAAAAGTTTAATAAAGTTTAGGTCAAAAAATGAGTTTTATTTTACTAAAATAAATATAACCTAATCATATTGAAGTTGTGATTTATCAAAATATAATGGATCTTACTTTTAGAACTGCATTAACACCAGTTATATTGAAAGAGATTCCTTGGTTCAATAATACCATAACTAAACTAAAAGCTTTGCTATGAGAATTATCATTATTTACTAATTAATTGATAAAATTTATTTAGTTTTATTCATAAATAAATAATGGGCACTTGTTAATCTGATAATCAATATTAAAATGAAAGTTAACCATAATCAGAAGAGGAACATATTGAAACTGAACAAATGCAATATGTAGTTTTAGCTAGTTGGAAACATGATTAATAAAATGGATCTAATAAACCAAATCATATTATCTTTGGAAAATCAAATACAGATTATTTATAAGGACATAATTAATTTTAGATTAATTAAGGTTCAGTTCAAAATTCTAGAATAGCTGTTTCATCAAATTAATTAAATGTTTCCAACATATAAAATATTACATCAAAACCTTTAAATTAAATTGAATAAAAATAGAGATTTTCAGCATTTAGTGGATACTCTTAAACTGATAGAACTGCTGGGTTAGTCAAAGATTAAGATATTTAAAGAAGACCTATTAATATAGCAAAAAGAAACATATTTTGAATAATATATAATTTAATAATTTTCTAAATTGCCCTTATTATTAATTTTTTTCATTTTTTTCTTTAAATTTCTTAAAGAAACTTTAATAAGTCTAGTTCTAAATTTTAAGACTTAAATTCCTTCACGTTTAAATTACATAGCAAATTTAATAATATTTTTTATGCAATAGTTTCTGGTTCATTGGCTAAAGCCCTAAATTAATATAATTTAAAATTTATTATCTTTATTTTTTCTTAATCATTTAATCCTTTTAATTGTTAAAAATCCATTTACCATTATTTAATTACATGTTTTTCAAACTTATATGCTTAATTATGTGAATTTATTATTTATTAAAGAAGCTTGATATAGTTTTCTGTATCACCCATATGTCCTTATTCTTAAAGGATTAATTTATCTTTCAAAATTTTTGAACTTATTGTTAAATATTTTGATAAGGTACTTAATAGTAATGGATATATATTCTCTTCTTTTGTTGGAAAATGAAAACTCAATTATAAGGCTATATAAGTTAATAGAATTTAAAATATTTCTTGACAAAAATTATTACAAATTTTGTTTGTAAGATCAATTTCATAAACAAATATTTTTTAATAATCTCTCTTTTATGTTGATTTCATTAATCTTAAGAAATATGGTCCAAACTCATAATTACTATAAAAAGACTTCATTTCTTCTTTTAATTTAAAGTTTAACTAATCTAATACTTTGTAAATTGATATCCTTTATCCACAATTAATAGGAAGCATTTTATTTATCAATTTAACTAACTAATTAGGTTCCTTATTTTCATCAATATATTATGCTTTTATCTCGAATTTTAACAGATCCTATCCTAATTATTATATTGATTTTCCATAATATTCTCTTTTTTTGTTATATAATTACCACATTATTTTAGCTACTAACCAATAATCTGTTTCATATGTATTTATTAATTTGTAAAGACATTCAGGGGGAAATTGAAGTTGATCAACTGAATGAAAATATCCAAAAGATCCATAATTAAGTGTTTTACCAATAGTATAAGTTATGCATTCTATTGAAATACATCTTCCAATGAAATTATTTTTATGCATTTCATAAAGTCCTTCAATAAGTTATTAGAATATATCCTAAAAATGATTAAAATTTATCTAGTTTTCTAAATTGAGTAGCTCGAGACTTTTCAATTTTGTAAAATCAGGTTTACAATTAAACTTGACCTTTTTTTGGTTTTCTGATTGATTTTTATCTTAGTAGAAATCAAAATCTATCAAATGTCTTAAATGAGGACATTTCTCAAGAGTCAATTAAGCGTCAACCTCTTGCTTTAAGAATTCTGAATTACTAATCATGCTTTATTACACTATTTAAGGGCTTCCCCAATTTTATCCCATTATTTATATTTTTAATATTTATATTTTTTATATATGAGATGCTATTTTAATATCATTTTATAGGAAAATAAATGATTTACAATAGATATTCAATAATGAAATCCATTTATTAATAATAGATTATATTAGTATTAATAAAATAATTAAATAGAATTAATTTATATTCTTTATATAATATATATTTTTGAGATTATTGTTAATTATATTTTATTATTAAGTATTGGATCAATTATAGAATAGATAATTTGATAATTTTAATGATTAATAATCACAATTAAACAATAGTTATTTATGAAATTAAAATTGTTAAATAAAAGAAAATTTGATAACAATTTTAATTGTGTACAACTTTGAAGATTTTAAATATGAAAGGATATAATATTAATAAAAGATATTAAATGATCTAGAGATATTTGATTTTATTTTAATTATGATTAAGAAAGTCATAAATAAAATTTAATTGGAAAATTTTAAAAATTAATTGTATATTTGTTTACAAATCAAAAATAATCTTTAAAATTTTTTATGTTTTGAATTAAAATTATACGTAATACGCATTAATGTGAGGTGATATAGTTGGATAAGTTTAAAAATTTTACAATAAATAAAAATAAATATTGAATGAAACCATTCTTGCCTATCAATACAAATGATAACATTCCCAGTGATAAAATAGATTCATATATTTCTTATATGGTATAGAATGTTATTATAATATAGTCTTAAGTGTACAATGTGTAATAATATATGCTGATTCAGGCTTAAAATTAGATCATGTAGGCTCAACTATTGAAATTGTAAAGTGGCACTATAAACTATAATGCCATTTTGCAACAAAAAATAATAAAATTGTTAGAACAGATTTTATAAAAAGGAGTATAGATTTCTATAAAGGACTTTATTCCATAATCTAAAATGCCTATTTTGGCTAAATATATAGCTAACATATTTATATATCTAATGAAATAATGTTCTTCAGATTAAGATGAGGTCACAATGAATTATATAAAGGACCCCAATTCAATTGTTATTGATTAAAAACAATGGGACTTAATATGTGAGATAATCAGTAAGAAATTAGTTTGTCTTGGAGCTAATGATATATTTTGCACTAATGGTATTGATTATAATTTTTATATAGATTCTTAAATTGGAATTGTTAGTTAATCATTATTATTTAGCAGTATCATAAGGAAAGTCATATTCAAGAAACTACATGGAAATACTCAATAAATTAGTTTTTAAACTTTGAATGATTTATTGGGATAAGAAAATAGATCAGATGAATTCTTATACAAATTCTTATGTGAAGAGGATATGAATACAATGACTAAATAATCTTGTTAAATATCTTTAGAAAAGATGTTCTAAAAAAGTAATTAATATTTTTATTAATCAAATCTAATTGAATAAATTATTGAGAATTAAAAATAATTTACTATAAATGGAAATTTTGAATATCATGCATAAAAGGTATTAAAAAATGTTATTATTTAATATAGTATTTGAACATAATCAAAATATATTAGAATTGTGATTAAAATAAAGTAATTGAATAAATAGTTAATGGATTATTCTTAAATTAATAGTAAATAGATAGTAAATAATTTATATTCAATTCTAATCGACTTGAAGAGAAACTCAAAAAATTATTATTTATGTTTGTGGATTTAGTAAGAATAGAAAATTCAATAATTTAAATAGTATTGGAAAATAAAATGTAAATTTATTATTAATAATTTATAGATCTGAAGAACCATAAAAAAATCCTCTGGAATATTATGCTAAATTGATAGAAAAAATAAAGAATAAATGTAGAAGTAAAGAGGATGAATTTTGTAATTGTAAAAGATGTTAATGCATTAAGAGAAATAGAGATAGTGCAAGAGAAGCATAAAAAAGAAAAAGAGAAGCTTTGGAGAAAATTGGACCACTTTAATAGGAATATCAGAAAATTAATAAGAAAGTAAAATTATAAAAAATAATTTAGGTTAAATTGTTAGAATTTGACAATTCAAAATTGAAGACAGCGTTATTTGAAGCTTTAAGAAACCCAGTTATAGAAAACATTATAAAAACATAATATTAAAGTGAATTTTCAAATTTAACAAATATTATGTAATAAGAGTCTTAAGATAGATAAAAAGAGGATTCTTAATCATAATCTGATAATAAATGATTTTTAAATTGTATTATTTGTTTATATTTGAATCTAAATATTTAAATACTAATCCATCAAAGGCAATAAATACAAATTCAAAGTTTATTTATTTCATCTAGATTAAGATAAGATATAATTTTAATATTTATCCCAAAGAAAAATTGTTAAAAATCTAAAATTATTGTGGGTAATTTAATATTTGGCTTCAGTAAAATACTTAAAATACTGAGTCCATAATTTATAATTTGCATTTATTATATTAATACAGAATAACAATCATCTATTTTTATTCATATTATAATCTGACTTAACAACATTTAATATATTATAATATTGATTTTTTTGATTATTCATATTAGAATTTATTCAAACAATAATTTAAATTAGTTTAGAATTACAAAAAGCAAATAGTTGTTATATTAAATATTTAATTTATATATAAAATGTTTACATTTAATCAAATTAATAATATTGTGTAAAACATTACCTAATAAAATATGATTAAACTAAATGTCACATAAACATATTCAGGAGTGTCTATAAATGTTTCAATTTCAAAACAAGGTGGTGTATATAATTGATCCCAAATACATATATTTAAATATTAACATTGTTTTTTATTGTAATTGTATTAACATTATGGAATACAAATCTATATATTTATATTATATTTATACATTGTATTATTTATTGAATTTACAACGAGTATGAGGACAAGTTAATTCATTGTAACTTTCACATGTTTAAGAAATACATTATTTCTAATTAATATCATATTGACAATACTCAACATTATTCATACATTCACATGCATCAAAAATTTATTCACAAGATAAACAAATATTTTTATAAATTTAGAGACAAATACTAGATTGTACTTAAATTCCATTACATTATAAATTTTTTTAAAGATAATTGCATCCATATGAAGTACAAAATCCATTGTTTAAATTATCATTACTAATTTAATGCCATGAACATTGTAATCCATTATAATAATTAATATTACAATCATTTTCTATTAGAATTTCAGAACATTCTATTTATACTTTACAGTTTTAATCAAACCAAGTACAATTAAATTAAATACAACTTTATTTATCCTTAATATGATGACATTATTTTGTAACACATGTGTTTATTAAAATACAATCTTTAGTATATTTAATACATTATATTTTATTTAATTTTTCACAATTTTCAAATTTGATACAAGCATTACTATCATCACTTACACATTATTTCTTATCAAAAACAAAATTAAAACAATCCAATTAAGAATTTATTATTTCATTACATGAATTAGCTTCATTACATTTTCCATCAAAATCTTAATAACAAATTTGACCACTTTCTAATTGATAATTACACTGATTTTAATAACCACAATACTATTCTTTACAAATACCTTTATTATTTTAAAATTAAGAAAATTCAAAATAACATTTACTTGATTTATTACAATTTATATAATCTTAATATTCTGAACAATCTTTTTATTATTCCAATATCATTTTGCATTAACATTATTCATTCTTCCATTAACAATTATCTATTTTATTACATCCATCCATATTTATTCCTTCACTAGAACAAAAATCCTCAAATGATGATTCTATACATCCAAATCCTAATTAATTATATTTACATCCTCCATTTTTAATTTAAGAACAAACTGATTAATTAGCAAAGTAAGCATCTTTGCATTATAGATTGTTATTAGAATCAAAAAATTGACAAGTCTAATTTAAAAAAAAACAATTTTTTATTTATATACATCCATATGCATTGATACCTTCAACATCACAACTATCTAAATTAGTTTAAGGCTTTTTACAAGTATGGCTATTAGAATCATATGAGCAGGGATCATATTCTTCTACCATACTACATAACAAAGGATTTACAATCCCATTATTGTCTTCACATTTACCATCTGGTATCCTTTCTTCACAATGATAGAAATCATCATCATCTTTTACCCAAATACATGGTTAAGTCTTTACATTTATACATGCATACTTATTTAATCCTAAATGATCACATTTCACAACATTTAAATCAACATAATCACATCCTTCTTTCATACCACCACAAGGTTATTCTAATTCAATTTCAGAACAGTATACAGGATTGATACCTAATTTATAACATGTTTCTTATAATTCATTTTTATATGCAGTATTTGTTTAATTTCTAAAATTATTCTATTATTTTCTTAGGTTATAACAGATTTTCTTTTCATAATCCCAAATACAAAGTTCTTTTTTTTATTTTATTTAAAGACATGCCACAATATTCATACCAGGTTTTGGAGAACTACAAGATAGATGATCTTTATTATATCTTTAGACACATTTATATACTTATTCATCATAAATAACCCCCATATCTTTAATTAAATGACAAACGTTGCTGTTAACTAACCCTCTTATAGATAATTCTTAAATAAATAAATTATCCTCTTAAACTTTCTAACATAATCCATCTTTCCATTAACAATATGCTCCTTATTTTGTTATTCTTAAACAAGATTAAAAACTTAAATTGTTTTCACAATCACTTTCATCTTATTTTATAAATATCTAACATGATCCTAATTTATTTCCAATATTATCATTAGTGATATTTGTTTTAATATTGTATACAAATGATTCAGTTGAATCCCAAAAACATTATGAGTATGTTTAATTTAAACATGCATTTTTATTAATATAATCAAGACAGTTGTTGTTACTTTCAATTTCAACAAATGATTGACATTATTAATTTATAAAAGCACACATTTATCCTTATTTCTCAACTTAAATACAAGCTTGTAAATTACCATATTTATTATTAATATCTTAACAAGTATCTGATAAACTTTTTTCTTTGTATTAACATTCATCTTCATTCCAAAAACATGGCATTATTGTTATTCTTCTACATTATTCTTTACTTTAAACTTAATCACAACTTGATACACTTTCAATCTTTTTACATCCCAACTTTACTATATCAAAAATACAAAAATTATCAGACTATGAAAAACACACTTATTTTGATGCCTTTTTTATTTAATCACATAAAATGTTATTTTATTATTGAATATATTAAGTACAGTTATCATTCCATTAACATTTAAATTTAGTCTAATATAAACAGGATCTTTAATCTTTAGCTTTTTAACAGCATTCGATTTCACTTATATTACAATTAAATATATCTTCATTTATCTCTTATTAGTACTTGTAAAATTTACATTAATTCCTTTTTGAATTTAAAGGTATACATTTCTTTATATTTAAGTCTTTTGGACATGTTAAATCTTAGGATTCTTACTTTACTTCAATACAAGTATGAATTTATGAATTATAACCAAACGCAGTATCTGTAATTTATTCACAAAACTAAAAATTGTTAATTAATGAAATATCAAAATACTTTTTATTTGAATATTCCTCAATGCTATTTTATTTGCATTCATAATTATAAAATCTATAATTCTAGCCTTCAATTTAAAATTTAATGCAGCTAATTTTATTTTATACTTCAGAACAAGTTATTTTTGTTATTTGATTTGTAATAAGTAAGCATTAATTTGAAGAATTATCAAAATAACAGTCTTCTAAAAGTACAGTTTTACATTAATTATTTGTTTAAGCTTATTTGCAATAATACATTGTATTTGGATCTTTTTATATACAGTAACCAATAAATATACACTATTCATCTTTTTCACATGCTTCTTTATTATAAAACTATTATGCTTTCTCATTGCAGTTCAAATCATTAGAATTTTACTCAACTATTTCACATTTAGATTTAAATGAATCATATTTGCATTCTTAATTTTTAGTTAGAGAGCAAATTACTCCATTATTGATATCACTAATTTTTTCACAATTATCATTATTATAAGCTTGGCATTTACCATCTCTAAATAAACAAAATTAGAATTGAGTCTTCACATTTAAACAAGCTTATTTATTAAGTTAATCACCACATTTTAAAATTTAAAGCATTTCTTCTGTTACTTCAAAACATCCGTCATCCCAATATGTTTATTTATTTTCAAAAATCATACAAGCCTATTTATTGAATGAATCCTTATTAGACCAAATAAAATCATCATCATCCAATTAAACATCTTTACATTATTAAATTTATTTATCATATATACAAGGCTTTTGTGAACAAGTAGATTCAATAAATCTACTGGCATGTTCACAATTTTATTAATTCAATTTTAATGATATTTTTTTGCATCCATCTATTTTATCAAAATAACAATTTTTTTCTTTTATATTTAAACATTTCATTTCATTTATCATATCTGTACATTTAGCATTTTAATTATCAATTTTACACTCATTTAATTCAAATTTGCATCTTGATTTAGAAGTATTAAAAATACAAGCTTTTTAATTTAAACCAAGTGCAGAACACATTTCAAATTGATCATTTACTTCTTTGCAACTAAATGTATTACTATCGTATTTGCAAGGTATGTCTACTGTATTGGCACAAACCCTATAATTTATGATTGCTTTTTCTGTTTCTAAACTTTTACAGGATTCTTCTTTTGAAAATGGTTAGCATTTAGATTACACAAATTTGCATTTTAAATTATTATTAATACAAGATACCCAATTTAAAGTTTCCTCACATGATTTAACTTATTCTTTTTAAATAATTTTGCATTCAGAATCTATATATTAGCATAAACCTTTAGTATTGGATAAGCAAGCAAATTTATTGATACCTATTGTTCCACAATCAGAAATTATTGCATTCTATTAAGGGATTTCTAAACACCTTCCTAAAATTTAAGAATATATTAAACTATTTCCCTTCTTGTCAAATTATTTGCATAATTAGTTTGAATATTACCTATTAACATTTTTAAATAATTCATCATAATTATTGATTTCTAATTCTGAGCATGAATTTTTCTCATATTAACAATTTTATTTTTAACTCAAGCAAGCAAGTCTGTTTAAATAAGGTTAACAACCTTCATTTAAATTTTGAATGGAAATACATTTATTATTTTTGAATGCACATGAATTCTTAGTTTTTAGAATACAAGCTTATTAATTTAATCCAGCAGTTTCACAATCATATAATATAGATTCTATAATTTATCTGCATTTATAATTTTTACCTAATATACAACTTTATTTGTTTTAAGTATTAATTTATGTACAAGTTTAAGCATTCATTTCATAATTGTCAAATTAATTACAATTATTAATTTAATCATTTAAATTAGCTTATTTACATGTTTAATTAAGTTAAGACCATAGACAAGGTTTATCTTAAAAATTTAAACATCCAAATTTATTTAAACCTTCACATCGTTAATTTTATAATGAGATTTAACAAATATTACCATTCCATATACATGATTAAACCATTGATAAATTACATAATGATTTATTTTTAAGTGTATTACATTGTCCTTTTAATGGATTATATTTTATACATAATTATGTTTCTATATTAAACCAACATTTATTTTATTATTCTTAATTACAACTATCATAATTTAAAATAGAACAATCTAATTTATCTGTTTATTCTATATTTTAAATATTTTAACATTCATATTTATATTAATTACATTTTAAAGATTTAATTTTATTCCATTTACATTTAATATTTCTTGTATATTATAAACAACCTTATTTATTTAAATTTTCACATTCATTTATATTTTCAATTAAAGGTATACATAATTGATTAATACTATCATATATCATTCCTTAACCTTAACATCTAATACATGCTTATTAAGATACAACAAGTCCTATTAATTCATTACAAGTAGAATGAGTTGCATCTTCACATTTATTTGTAAATTTACAAGCTTAATCAACTAAACCACAAACTTTTTATTTATTATTATATACAAATTCTGTAACTTCATAACATAAATAATATTTATTTGAGCAATCTTCATTTATTTAAGGAGCCAATTCTTTTTATTATTAACAATAACCTAAAAACATAAAATCACAACCACATTTTTCACATAATTATTTACTATAACTTTTATCACATTAACATGGATCAACTATTGTATTAACACATTTTACTCCATCAAATCTACAAATATCTTAAGCTTTTGCACATAAAATTGGTTAAGCAACACTCTCATGGATTTTGGAGCAATTTTTAAAGTATCCATATTTTTTTTAATTTATAATATTTTAGCATTATATTCTGCCAATTTGATTGGAGAAGCATTTATTGTTTGATTCTTTTTCCAATTCTTAGCAGATAGCATTTCTTGAGTAACTTGTTTTACATTTATTTTAAATTGCTGAACAACTTGGCAATTTATGTTCATTTCCTGTTAATTATCTACAACCACCTTAGTTGATATCAAAATAGCATTATTCATTTTATAAACAAAGGGCTTTAGAGTATATATTGTCACAATTTAATAATGTATTATTAAAATTAATACATAGAGGATGATGATCGTAAAAGAGTTTTGGTAAGCAGATTTTTTTTAGTTATTAACCATTTATTAAGAAATCAAGTTTAATTGTTGATATGTTTTAGTCTTAACAATCCTGATCAACTGGTTCGCAATATTCAATACAAGTATCATTAAGATATATAAAATTTTTTTAATTATCCTCCTTCAATGCCTATGCCTCTATTATGTTTTTGGGTTTTTAATAATAAGTGATTTAATTGCATTCTGAGTTATGTTAGCATCTTTTACCAGTATTTTTGCATATACCATATTTATTTTAATCTTTAAATTGTTATTTTCCATCTTTTATGATAATTTATTAAGAACAATCATTTGTGCTATTCGTATATTCTAATTCCTAAGTATCATTAAAAACCCATAAGTTTTTCATTATTTATTCATGAAATGATTTATCAAAGAATGATTCCACCAATTTATAAATATTGCAAGTATATATTGCTATATCCCAATAGCAATATTTCTAATAATTACATTATTATGATTGATCAGTATCTATTAAACATTATTCATTTCCATAACCCTATGTTAAATCCATACTAATAGATGAACAAGCTATTTTATTGAAATGTCTTTTTTCATTTAAATCTTAACAGGTTGTATCTTTTTCAATTTTAGCATTTTCACATTTTAATGAATCAATATTAAAAAAACAAGGTTTAGGTATATCCATACAAACTTCGATATTGATATCAGTTCCAGAATCACAAATAGTTTAATCAGATTGATAATCTAAACACTCCCCATTATTATAATAACATTTAGATCCTTTAGTCAAAAATAGACAGGCAAACTTATTTATTTTTTTATCTGAGCAATTTAATTATTTATCGATTAATTTGCATTCATGATTTTATGAATCATATTAGTAGCCTACTTTATTTCTTTATAAGCAAGCTACTTCATTTTATTCGTTATTTGAATCACTATTAATCATTTTTTCTATAGATTAACATTATTTTTTATTCTCATTCCAAACACATGCTTCTTTAGTAACTAATTTACAAAGAACTTTATTCAAATTATCAGAACAACTTAATTGGTTAATTTCATCTTCATTTTAATAGCATGTCAATGATTCTGGATTCCATCTACATTCTCCAGAAGAATTCATATAACATGCTAAATTATTGATATTATTTTCACCACAATTTGGAAATTTATTTAATAAAACAACACATTTATTATCAAAAACAAATTTATAAGGTTAATCTGTTAATTATTTACATACAGATTCTATCTTATATTATTTTTCAACTATATAATCTGTTTTAAAAGCTATACACATATCAGAATAATTATCATAAGAACAATTTTGATATTAATTTTCATAGCATGCTTCTATATTTTAATTTAACTCACAACTTTTCATTTCATAAAGCTCCTAAAAAGAAATTGTAACACATTTTAATTTAACAGCATTCCATTTACAATATAATTTTTCAGTATATTTCATACAAACATTCCTATTTCCCTCTACTTCTTCACAACTCTTATATTCAATTTTAGTTTATATTTTGCATGTTTTATTTTCATCATCATAGGTTAAATATTTGAATTCAGTATCATTATTAGATTTTGCTTCAACTGATAAACAAGCAAATTTATTAAAAATTGTTTTATTATTAATCAACTCTTTTATATTTGAATAATGATATGTTTCAAAATGGTTACAAATTTCTCCATCACTAAAGCATCTTTGACTTTCTGACCAATCAATCATATGACAAGTCTTTTTAGTCATAGATGAGCATGGTAATTTTAACTCATTAAAATAAAATTTGACTTGTATTGGGTCATTGATGTCTACAATATCTTTAGTTAATTCTTAGCATCTTAAATTATTAAAATAACAATAATCCGATTCAAATTCTTTTGCAGAAAACTTGCTGCAAGCATGTGCATTTATTCCAATAACTTCTGTACAACACTTAGTTGTACATTGATATTTATCTAGAATTTAACAAGAATTTTTATTTTCATCATATTTGCAATAACCTTTAAAAGGTTTTTATTTAGAATTATTAATAACTTATGCACAAACACTGAAGTTTACTTAACTAAAATTTTCACATTTCTCATTTTATTCTATATGTGCATTTATACATTAATTTAATCTATTAGACCATTAACAATATTAACCTTCTGTCTAAACAGCTAAGCAAGTTTTTTTAGTAGGATAATTTGAATAACATTTAATATTCTTCAAATTTAGGTTAGCATCTTTACAGATATAATTTTCAAAGTAACAAAACCCATCAATTGATGTACATGCATATTAATTTAATCCCTTTGTATTACAATTCTTGATTTTATCTGTAAAAATCTCAATGCATCCTTTGAATTTAGAAGAAAATCCACACATTTTTTTTCCTAATTCAACAAAAGCACATACTTAATAGTTTGCATATTCAAGATATTAACAAGGTATATTTATAATTTACTACTATTTCACAAAAGAACATTATTCTTAATGCCATCTACATGGAGTTAATTCAGTAGTAATTGAAGCACATAAAACTTTATTAATTCCTAATGATTAATCTTTACATGTAATTTTATTTAAAAATATTTTTATTGAATTATGATTTAAATCGACATTAATTGATTTACATTTTTATGAAATTTTATCATAAAAACAACCAATTGAATCATTTTAATATACTTAAGAACAAGCATAAGGATTTGCATATCCTAAATTTTCAAAAGTTGTTGTTGTTATAATATCAATTTTGATTTATTTACATTAATTTTAAATCCATTAACATGCTTATTTATTATTTTAAATACTAAGACAACCAAGTAAATTAATAAATGGAGTATTACATTCATCATTAATTAAACTAGAAACACACAAATTTGTTTTTTAATTATATTTACATAAAATATCAGGTTTAGATATAGCTTAACATACATTTCCATTAACTTTAATTGATTTATTTACAAAATTCATAGGACAATCTATATCTTAATTAATAAATATTCTTTCACATTTAATTCCATTCCATTGACAATATTAAAATTCAGTTTCTAAATTAATACATGCTTTTTCATTCAAATCCATATTACATAAATAACTTTTAAGATCTTATTCATTAAGTTCTTAACATATTCCTCCATAAAAAGAACAATTTTCATTTTTTATTTGTAAACAACCTTCTCTAGATAATCCAATTGTATTACAATGTAAAAATTGAAAATTTTCTTAAGGAATAATTACACATTATGATTTTTCTTTATCATACTAATAAGGACCATTAAGTTTAGAACAAACACTTATATTAACATTAGACACGATTTCTTAATTATCAGTCAAAAATTGAAATTCTAAGCACTATTGATTTTTCCAATAACAACTAAATTCAGGATTATCTATTGAAAGACAAGCTAATTTATTTATTTTTGAATTGCAGTTTAAAATTTCATTATGGGAGACTTGTTAGCAAATATTATTTTTATAAATACCTAAATAAAATATAAAAATACATTTTTCTCCAAATGCAATTATTTTTCTGCAACCTAGCTCAGTTAATCCTAACTATGAGCATTTTAACCAAGAATAATCATTTTCTTGTATTGAAACACATTTATAATCTCCTTAAAGGCCAGTGTTCATACCTTCATTTTTAAATAATTTAATACATTCTAAATTCTTTATAGATGAACAAACCAAAGGTGTCACAGGCAGTTTATATTACTATTCACATGATAGAAGTTAAACTTCTTCATTTTAAAGATACTAGCAAAAGGAATCCCATTAGCATTTATGGTTTCGTATATTCATGCAAGCATGTTTGCTGAATTTATCAAAGCAACCTAATATAGATAATTATTATTTTGAAGCCTTTTTGCATCTCAAATCAAAAACACCTAAAATAAATATAACTATATACATTAATATTCTATTCCATATTCATCACTCAATTAATTTATACAAGCTTTTTCATTCAGATTTATGCTGCATCCATAATTAGTATCGGTAATTGGAAGACATAATTTATATTATTCATTAAAAGTGCCTAATATGTTGTATATTATTACAAGAAGAATCTTTTGTTGATTCTATACAAAATTTTTGGTTAAAAAGTTATTCATAGCATTATCGAATTATCAAATGCTGAGAAAAAATGGATTAAATCAAATAGATTATCATAATGATATTCATCTCTAATATTATTTTATTAATTAATTATTAAATTTTTTGATTTATTTAGATATTTAATAAATACTCTATACTTTGGATAAACTTTCGCTAAAAAGTTTGTTTAATTTTTAAAGTTGAAACCATACAAATTATTGGAAATTTGCTTTTTTAAAAATTTCGAAGAAGAATACTTAATTAAATAACTTAAATAACAATCAATATATATATTTATTTTTAGAATGTTTGTATGTAAATTTTTATTTTCAGCAGATTATTTGAACCATTAATCTAATAAAAATATTAGATTTAGAATTACTATAATTTTCAACACAAGTTTTTTGTTGTTCTAAAAAATGGTATGTATAATATTTTCAAATCTATAAATTGAAATAACAATTGAATATATTTAAATGAATTTATTTTTATCTCAAAATAGAATTAAACCTATAATGGCAAAAGTTGGAAATATTATTTCTGCTCCAAACTCAATTTTTGGAGTTTAATATTAAAAGTCTTTGCATAACTATTAAACATCATCCCAAAAACATTGATTATCTTTACATTATTAATATTAGGTGATATTTTAACATTTGATTTTACACCTACCCTCTTCTTCTATCCATTCACATTTATCAATATTTTAACAATCAAATTTTTCGTTATTAGTTTCACATTTCATTTAACACGACTTAGTATATTTAAAATATTTACCTATTATATAAATATACAAAATTCAAATGGACATTCATCTTCAGTAGAATAAGATTCACATTTTTTTGATGCACATTTACTATTATTTATATCATAATAGCAATAATTAGGCTAATTTAAACATTCACATGGATCAAAAATTTCTTCACATGAAACACAAGTTGCATTGCTTAATTCAACACAAGTTTCATTAGCAACTTAGGATCCTGAACAATATTAAAATTCTTATAATTTATGACAACCATCTTATATACAAAATTGACGATTATTCTTTTCAATCCATAAGCACTATTTATTATTAAATTTCTTCTGATTGCAAAGAATTTGATCAAGTATTGATTAGCATTCAATTTAGTCTTCACAAATATCTTCTTTTTTATTCCAATCACATTTGTTCTAAGTACAATATTAATAAGTTAGATCCTAGCATTATTTCGTTTTGCAGACTTCTTCAAATTTACAATATTATTGATATTTTCTACAAAGGTCTTTATCAAATTTTTCACATTCAAACTATTCACACTTTTCTTTATTATTTATCATTTAGCAAGGCCTATTATTAAATTAGTACTTCTAACAATCTTATTATGGATTAATTATTTCCTAACATTTTGAAGCTGGTAAACATTATTAATTACTCGAATAACAAAATGTGTTTAAAATAGTTTTACCTTCACATTCATTAAAATTAAAATCTTTGCAAGCTACTAATCTGCATTATTGATTATTTTATTCAAATATGCAATGACTCTATTATTAGCATTTTTTTTATTCTGTAATAAAATTGCAATCATAAGTCTCAACAAATTATCTGCATTAACAACCTTATGGTAAAAGTATGCAATGAGGTGAAGTTAAGCAAGCATTATCACTTAGTGAATCATTTGAACATAGTTCCTCATAAGTTGATGAACATCCATACTGAATTTCATTATATTTACAAGAATCTATAGCATTTTTACAAATTAATTTATTAGCTACTGGAAAATCATCGCATTTATAAAGGTGCTTATTCAATAATTAACATTTTTGATCGAAAAAGCAGTTTTCAATTTATACGCATCCAATACTGTTTAATCCTGATAATGCACAGTTAATTTGATCTTAATTGGGTACTTCACATTTTAAGTTATATTCATTATAAAAACATGGACCATCTGTAACAATAGAGCAAACTTTAGAATTAATATTCTATGGTATTTAATCACAAGGAGTAGATGGGATAAAGTCTTCACAATGATAATTTTCATCAGATTCATTTTTAATCCAAATGCAAGGGTATTATATTATATTCAGACAAGCATATTTATTTAATCCATCTTAATTGCATTTAACTTAATCTAAATTCACATAATCACATCCACCTTTAATAAATCCACATGGTTCCTCTAATTGAATTTATGCACATAAATAAGAAGAAAAATTTTATATTTTACAAGAATTTTATTTTTAACTTGGTTTCTATCTTTTGCATTTTCTTTATGTTGAATCCCAAAGACAATCTTAAAATTTAATATTTAGGCAAGCTTTCTTATTTAATCCCTCAGTTAAACATGATATAGTTAAAAAATCACGAATAATAACACATTAGTTTATATTTTTATCATATTATACAATGTCTCCATTATTAATTAAATTACAAACATTTGAATTAATCTATAATAAAGACAAAGGATCATAAACAATGTTATGATCGGTATCAATATTTTAACATTATTAATTTTTCCAAATGCAATACGCACCTTCCTTCTCAATTTTCAAACAAGATGTATAACTAAGTTAAGTATTACAACCTATTTAATCAAAATTCTCAAAGTTAATGCATTTTCCATAATATACATTATATTCATCTTCTTCTAAAGATTTTATTCCCTTAACTAATTGTAGATCCCAAAAACAATCACTTATAGTTTATTATAAACATGAATTTATATTAATATTATCTAAGCAATTATTGACATTTTCACTCTATTTGAAGGTTTAACATTTATTATCAATAAAAATACACATTTATCCTTGTTAATCAATATTCATACAAGCTCTTTAACTTCCAGATTATACTTTTATATCTTCACAACTCAATTAAACTGAAGCTATATTTGAGTTTAAATCATTTAAATCTTAATTTTCTAGATATATACACTATTATTGATTATCATTCCAAATGCAAGGTAAAGTACTCATTCTGCTACATTAACTAGATGATTACAATTATTCACAAGAAATTGGATCTATAGATTTGCATTTATGATTATCTTTATCATAAATACAGAAATTATCCTAAATAGAAGTACAAACCAATAAGCTTGAGTAGTAAATATCATCACATTTATTTTTTTGATTAGATGGATAACTTTAGCAATCATTATCAAACCACTAACATTTATAAATATTTTAAGATAGACAATTTTCTTTTGAATCGGCTAACTTACAACATAGGTTTTAATTAGACAATTTACAATTGTAGATTCCAGAATCGAAATCCTAACAATATTAATAAAATTAACATTTAAGATTTTTATCTGTTTATTGTAAACATGCTATTTTATTAATACCTCTTTGACAACTTATATATTAATATTAAGATACGATTTTACATGATTTAGAATAAAAATCATAAATACATCCTACATCTTTAGGATACTCACAAAAAATATAGTGATTTACATTTGTTAATCTTTAACATTCTGTACTTTACATTTAAAATAGATTATGAGAAACACATTTTGATCCTACAAATTAACAATATTATCCTTCAGTTTAAATATTTACACATCCTATTAGATTAATAGCTTCTTCACATTTGAGTTTCGAATAATCTGTATCTTAAATTTTTACACAATTATTTTAATAAATTTAACATCCATCTATTTAAACTTATGAACATTATGCTAAATCTAAAGCATTTTCACAAAATTGTAATTTTTATTTGTTAACTTTATAACATTAATCATTAAAAATACATTTCTCACTATCTAAACTGCAAGCACTTTCATTATATCCTTTTTATTCAGGATTTTTCTCAACACATTCAATCATATTTTATTTAACAGTTTCACACTTATACTAGAATTAATTGAATTAGCAAGGAACTTTAGTAGTTTGAGCACAGAAAATACCTGAGTTGATATTTTTTATTGAATCACAGTTTTATGTTATAAAATCATCTAATTTAGCATTAATACATTTATCATTTATATATTAACAATATTATAATGGAGTTTTGATACTTACACAAGTATTTCTGTTTAAATTATCATCACATCTTAAATAGAATAATTAAATGCTTTTCACCTCAAAACAGCCTTCTTTCCAAAAGAGAAGCACATTTTTTTTAATTAGTTAAGAGTCCTTCAATGAAAATGACTAATTAAATTATACACATGTTTTTTTGTTAAAGGAATCGATATTCGATAGTTAATAATTTTAATAAGTAAAATTTTCAGAATTTGTAACATGACTATCTTCTTCCCCTAACTATTTATATTCCTTGCATTTTTTTTATTTTTTATCATAAAAGCATGCAATATCATTAGTTTTAGAGCAAGTAATTGGATTAATTTGGATGTCGGTCTCACAATTATTTAAAATTTAAAGTTCATCAATTTTATAGCATCCTTACGTTTGGCTGAATTAACAATATTATCTTTTTGTTGTGATTGCTAAACATTTATTTTTGTTAACTAAATCTTCACAAAAAGAAGTTCCATAAGAACCCTAACATTTTTTTTCACTTTCAATAAATTCACACAGTAACTGGTCTGAATTAAAGATGCAAGCCTATTTATTTAATCCTTCACATTTTTATTATATAAGAGAATTTTCGATTAAACTGCATAACTTTGTTTTAGAATCATAAAAGCATGGATTTTTTATATCTGAAGAACATATTTTTTGATTCACTTAAGAATTATTAAATTAAGATGATTTACAATCAAATTCATCAGTTTAACTAAATTCATAACATTAATTATTTTAATATTTACATAATATTTTATCAGCTTAAGTGCAAGCAAATTTATTTAATGTATTAAAACATTGATTTAATTATTCTTTATTAAAATACTAACATTTATTCTATTTGAATTCACAAAAAGATTCTATTTAATTTAAACAAGCATATTAATTGATACCAGGAGATAAACAATTTGTCAATTTTGTTTTTAAATTATCAACCTTAATGCATCTTTTTTACATTTAACTATAAATATACCCAATTTACAGATCAATGAATTAACAAACTCTGCCTGAGTAAGTTGCATCATCAAGTGCAAGCAATTAATTAAAATTAGAAAAATTAAGATCTGAACATTGTTCATTTTTAAATTTGCAAATCTATTGTTAATTTAAACAGGCTTCTTCGTTTAAATAAGGTTAACAACCTTCATTTTAATTTTGAAAGGAAATACATTTATTATTTTTGAATGCACATGAATTCTTAGTTTTTAGAATACAAGCTTATTAATTTAATCCAGCAGTTTCACAATCATATAATATAGATTCTATAATTTATCTGCATTTATAATTTTTACCTAATATACAACTTTATTTGTTTTAAGTATTAATTTATGTACAAGTTAAAGCATTCATTTCATAATTGTCAAATTAATTACAATTATTAATTTAATCATTTAAATTAGCTTATTTACATGTTTAATTAAGTTAAGACCAAAGACAAGGTTTATATTAAAAATTTAAACATCCAAATTTATTTAAACCTTCACATTATTAATGTTATAATGATATTTAACAAATATTACCATTCCATATACATGATTAAACCATTGATAAATTACATATTGATTTATTTTTAAGTGTATTACATTGTCCTTTTAATGGATTATATTTTATACATAATTATGTTTCTATATTAAACCAACATTTATTTTATTATTCTTAATTACAACTATCATAATTTAAAATAGAACAATCTAATTTATCTGTTTATTCTATATTTTAAATATTTTAACATTCATATTTATATTAATTACATTTTAAACATTTAATTTTATTCCATTTACATTTAATATTTCTTGTATTTTATAAACAACCTTATTTATTTAAATTTTCACATTCATTTATATTTTCAATTAAAGGTATACATAATTGATTTATACTATCATATATCATTCCTTAACCTTAACATCTAATACATGCTTATTAAGATACAACAAGTCCTATTAATTCCTTACAAGTAGAATGAGTTGCATCTTCACATTTATTTGTAAATTTACAAGCTTAATCAACTAAACCACAAACTTTTTATTTATTATTAAATACAAATTCTGTAACTTCATAACATAAATAATATTTATTTGAGCAATCTTCATTTATTTAAGGAGCTAATTCTTTTTATTATTAACAATAACCTAAAAACATAAAATCACAACCACATTTTTCACATAATTATTTACTATAACTTTTATCACATTAACATGGATCAACTATTGTATTAACACATTTTACTCCATCAAATCTACAAATATCTTAAGCTTTTGCACATAAAATTGGTTAATCATCTTATTAAATGTTATCACAATAGTAATTAAAGGATTAATCATCTAGATTTTAACAAATTTATTGATTTGATTGAAAACTCAAACACTAATTGTCTGATTATTTTTTTGCACTTTAACAAATAGCATTACTACTTTAACTTATATGACAATTATTTGATATGCTTTAGCAATTTGGTATCTTATGTTCATTATTTTTTAATTATATACAACCTCCTTGATTTAAATCAAAAATACAGCCTTCATTTTTTAATTACATACAGAGAGCTTTTGAAAATGAATTATCACATTTATTTTCTGTAATTATCTTCTATTAACACTAAGGACTTAAACTATACTTTACTGAAGTACTCTATTCTGATTGAGATAGAGATATACTACCTATTGTTGTAATCCCATCTTCATTATATTCTTCATATTCATCAATAATATAATCTTAAAAGTCCTGGCAAAATATTTATTCAGAAGAATAGCTAGTAACTTTTTTGCAAATTCTTTAATTGTTTATTTTTGATATATTATGAAATAAAAATACTAATCAAAAAAAGTAATACGATTAAGAATTAATAAATTAAAAAATTAAAATTTTAATAATTTTTATTTAACAGACAGAAATATTTTATATAATGTGGGTAAATATTATTTGAGAAATTACTAGACTGTTATCTATTACAATTCTAAATGCATAATCTAATATTAATTATTAATTGTAGAAAGTGTAGCTTGAAGATGATTCTATATTTATATTTTTACATTCTAAAATCCAGAATAAATGAATTTAGCCTTGCTAATAGAATATTAATTTTTATCATTTTTAATCACATGATTTTACTTTTATCCTATCAGTTATTTAATATTACAATTTTAAAAATTATATTTACCCTCCACCAATTATTATTTTTTTATTCTTTTTTTGAATAAAATAATGCTAATTTTTTAAATAATTATTGATTTGTATTAATAAAAGTTAGCTTTTCCCAAAAAGATTGTTTTTTTTTGATTAATTTTTGGTTTTTAATCAAAAAGTATAAAAGATTATTTGTTTCAAAAAAAATTCAGACAGTTGAATATTGGATTGATATTGTGAATTAGAATTACTGGCTTGAGTGGAGGGAAACATTGTCTATTGCCATACTGGGAAATTATGATAGCCCTTCAAAATTTCAGGAAGGAGTATTAGGTCTCTCTTTTTTCATTATCGAAAGTGAAATTAGTTTAATTTTTTGTTCCTTAACATTTCTATTGGCGCTTATAATAAAGTGTTTGGTTAGTACATATAAGGAACCATGCTACTAGATACTGCCTTTAAAGTGATAATAATATGTAATAATTGTTTCAAACTGGAACTCGATACTTCTTTTTTGGCTATTATTCCCCACAGTCGGAATTTATAGTTAAAGAGATCCGCTTCGCAATTTCTTTGATCTATTCAGTCATAGACTTCTATTCTTTCTTGTAAAGTTTTCTGGCTGTGTCTTAAACATATTGAAAATTTCTGTCAATTTTGTTGCCTCAATACCCTCTGAGGGGAGGGGAGAGCGAGAAGGTCCTTAATATCTTCTTGTGTAATTAGTTTGTTATGCTGTTTGCATTTTCTCCATTGATGTTTCCACATTTCGATATATTCCTCATTTTCAAGATCATTCAATTTTATTTTAGTAGTTCAATTTAATTCTACAATTGTTCCCGTTTATTAATGATCTCTGGATTCCTTAGAACAAATTGATCCATTAGGTAGATTCTATTATCCAACGTTAATTCGTACATTTATTCATAATACAATCTTTTCAAGTATTCTCTTTGAAATTAATAATAGTAAACAAGGATTCTATTTTCCTTAAAGCTATAGCAAAGCTTTTTCGCTCCTGTGTCTATCTTTTGATTAATTTTTCCTTGTAGATAAATTCTCTAAAGATATCTTATTGGATTTATATATCCTTCAAAGAAATGAGTCTCAAGTAAACCAATTACTTACTGCTCATTTTTTCTCATTTAATTCTAGCTTTTAGAATCTTTTTATTAAAAAATTAAAAAATTAAATTCCTTAAGTCCTAGAGAGATAATATAGAACTTTTATAATTTAGTAATACTGATCTCGTTTTTTTTCATAAGAATACCATAAATTTTGGAAAATATTTTATTTCTATAATAAATGATTATTCCGAATAATAATTAATTTTTTATTTTCTACATGTTAAATTAATTGAGCTCCATTCTATTGAAATGTTTATTTCTGGATCAAATTTTTCATATTCAGGCAAAATTTCTAAGAGGTCTTAATCAGGGCAATCATTCTAATTTTCCATATTTTAGCATATTAAATCTTATTAGTTTTATTAAATCCCACAATCCACATTTTAAAATAAAAATTGATAGACTTAACATGTATATTCTTTCCAAAAACCATATTTTTCAAAATTACATTGTTAAAATTTTCCCTCTTATTGAGTACATAAATTTTCATTTAAGAATTCTGTTTATGCTGATCCCACAGATGCACAAGCAATTTTATTATGATGTTTTTTATTTTTAGAATAATCAAATAATTGCCAGTAAGTATGAGTTTATTATACTTAAAATGATTCACATTAAAGAGTGCTTCCATTAAAAAGACATGAAACAGGTAAATTCATACATACTTCAATATTGATCAAATTTGAAGTATTACATATGGATTATTCATCTTCGAAGAATTTGCAAAAATTATTAGGAATTTATTCATTGCTATCATAAAAACAATAATGACCCCTTGTTAAATATAGACAAGCATATTAATTCATTTAAAATTGATCACATCTTAACTAATTTGTATTATCACTTAATTTAATACATTTTTTTAATTCTCTATCAAAATAATATCCAGCTTCTGAAATCAATAAACAAACTTTTTCATTATAAGGATATGATGCATTTATATTTAAAATCTCAAATTATTCTGATGTTTTTGGAGTAAATACTTAACATTAATATTCAATATCATTCCATATACATGCTTCTTTTTTTACTAATTAACATAATATTTTATTTAAATTGTCATTACATAATAATTCTGTAGTATCAGTCTCATTTTAATAACAAATAAAATTATTTGAATCCCATCTACAATAACCACATGTACTATTATAACAAACTCTATTATTCCCACTAGAAATTGATATATCACAATTGCAATTTACATCTTCATATTCTTTTTCTGATTTAATGCAAATTTTCAAATCTTCAGAATAAACGCACTTTTAACCACTTTTATTTATATATTTACATACTGAATAACTTACTTTACCTTTTTAATTAAATTAATCACAATCTATATCTTCTGAAGCTTATACACATTTATCATTTTCATAAGAAAAATAACAATTTAAAATTTTGTTTTCTACACAAGTCTTGATATTTAAATTAGAATTGCAATATTAAATTTCAGCAATTTCATCCAAAGTCATTGTAACACATTTTAATGTTTCTGGATCCCATTTACAAAATTTATTTCCAGTATATCTTGTACATAAGTTTTTATTTCCTATTGCATCTTCACAATTAAGAAATGGATATTCTGAATCAAGTATAAGTTCTTTACATCTTTAAGTTTAAGAATTATAAGAAAAATATTTCATTTGATTTTGAGATGATAATGTAGCTTCAATAGCTAAACAAGCAAATTCATTTAACTTTGAAGGATATTCAGTAAAAATTTTTAAATTTGGAAAAAATTATTAATTGAGATTATTACAGGTTTATCCATTATAATAACAAAGTTAAGAAGTTGACCAATTAATCATATGACAAGAATTGATATTCATGGATGTGCAAGGTAATTTCAAATCATTATAGTATTATTTAACTAAATCTTAATTAGATATATCAACAATATCAGCTTTTAATTCTTGACATCTAGAATCATGAAAATAACAATAAATTCCTTCCTCTTTGCTTGAATATCTACTACATGAATGTGCATTTATTCCAATCATATAGTATTCTGTACAACATTTTGTTGTACAATTGTAATATTAAATTTTACAATTTTTTTTTATTGCATCAAAAGCACAAAATTCTGGAATATCCATACGAATTGATGCACAGACATTAGGATTTATAATAATATTTGTACCTGAATAAGCAAGACAATTATCATTGGATTTAATTGATGCTTCGATGCAAGAATTTAAATTAAATGACCAAATACACTTTTCTCCTATAGTTATAATTTAAGAGCAAGTAATTTTGGTTAAATATCTTGAATTGCACTTTAAATTATTATTGTAATTAAACTATATGATTTAATAATCATTGACTTTTGTATCATTATCATTATTTTCAATTATAAAATCAATATCTTACTTTATAATGCACATGATTTTATCGAAATAACAATTTTTATTAATTAATTAACAACCAATATAATTTAATCCTTTTGTTTCACAATTAGTTTATGAATCAATTTAATTAATGCATCCTTTGGCATTTTCAAAAAATAAACAAGGTTCATTATTATACTATACTAAAGAACAAGTTTAGTAATTAGCATATTATAAATGTATACATGGAACATTTGCTATATCTCCTTTTTAATTTATATAAATGCATTATTATTAATGCCATCTACATGGAGTTAATTCAGTAGTAATTGAAGCACATAAAACTTTATTAATTCCTAATGATTAATCTTTACATGTAATTGTATTTAAAAATATTTTTATTGAATTATGATTTAAATCAACATTAATTGATTTACATTTTTATGAAATTTTATCATAAAAACAACCAATTGAATCATTTTAATATACTTAAGAACAAGCATAAGGATTTGCATATCCTAAATTTTCACAAGTTGTTGTTTTTATAATATCAATTTTGATTTATTTACATTAATTTTAAATCCATTAACATGCTTATTTATTATTTTAAATACTAAGACAACCAAGTAAATTAATAAATGAAGTATTACATTCATCATTAATTAAACTTGAAACACACAAATTTGTTTTTTAATTATATTTACATAAAATATCAGGTTTAGATATAGCTTAACATACATTTCCATTAACTTTAATTGATTTATTTACAAAATTCATAGGACAATCTATATCTTAATTAATAAATATTCTTTCACATTTAATTCCATTCCATTAACAATATTAAAATTCAGTTTCTAAATTAATACATGCTTTTTCATTTAAATCCATATTACATAAATAACTTTTAAGATCTTATTCATTAAGTTCTTAACATATTCCTCCATAAAAAGAACAATTTTCATTTTTTATTTGTAAACAACCTTCTCTAGATAATCCAATTGTATTACAATGTAACTAATTTATTTTATTTTGCTATATAATTTAACAACTTTTTTGTTTTTCATCATACATACATAATCCCTATGAATTTTAACAAACAAACGAGTTCACTATTTTTTTAGTGATGCATTTATAATTTTATTCTTAAAATATTCTACAAGAAGATTCAAACCATTCACATTTCTATCGACTAAGTTACTTTGAAAAGAGACAGGCATTTATATTCAATTTCTGATCGCATGATATGATTTAAAATGATTCAATAGATTGACATCGTTTATTTTCAAAAATGCCTAAGATAATTTATTTAACTTTTACATTTCTGATCTAATGTTTTAATAGCAATACAAGCTTTTTCATTCAATCCTTATTAATTACAAGATATTGATTATAATTAGTCTAATCTCACTTCAACACATCTAAAGTCTCCATCTTTTCCATTACTCATACCTATATACTAATCTTATTATACATAAACCATATTGAAATTATTAACATGTATAAGGAGTAACAGGTAAATTGTAAATCTAACATTCTGAAGATGTCTTTATTTTAGAATCTTCATTTATATTTAAACATTTATTAACCCAAACACATTCTTTTTATTATAAATTCATGCAAGCCAATTTGTTTAATTTATCAGAACAATTAAACTTTTAGAGTTGCACTTGATTTATAGTTTGACATCTCTATAGAAAAATACCTAAAAAATTATATATATTTATATATCTACAATTAACATCATTTCCCCATTAGTCTGTTAATTAAAAAATACAAGCTTCTTCATTTAAATTAGATGAGCAACCCAAATTTCTTTATTCTGTCTCCAAACATATATTTTCTTAAATTTCATATTTGCCTTTAAATTATATAATTATTTTACATTTAACTAGACTAGTGCTTTGTATGCATTAGAGGGGAGAGTGATAGTAGATGTTACACTTAAATGATGAATTAATTGAAATAGTATTGCTTATCATAAGTAGGTAAATTAATAGTCTATAAAAAAGTAAGCTACTCATTGAAATTAGTTTAAATTATTTATTTAAAAAAATATTACAAATAGATTAAAATATATTATTCTTAATATCAAAATGTATAATTATGATTATGTTTTGAAAAATACTTTTTAAACTTCTAACTCAATATTATAATTAAACTATAAATAAGAATACTAATTCTAAATCTTTATTATACTAAAGTCTTACAAGTTGGGAGATAGAAAAATTAAACTTGTTTACTTGTCAATATTTTTGAAAAATTAATTAAGATGTTTTGACTTATGAACTGATTCTTAAAAAAAATTAGAATTAAATTATTTACTAAATCTAATAATTTCTCTATTTAATATTAAATATTTATTGATTAACAAAAATATTTTCCTTTCTATAGATATATAAATAGGAGAGTAAAAAATAAAAAAAACTTAAGAATTTATTTAATTCTTATTAATCATCTTTTTTAAATGAATTCAATATATATTATTTCAAATCTAAAATAAAATAAATATTAATAGGTTTTTATCATTAAATAAACAATTGGATACTTTAATAATTCTTATTTTTATGAATAAGATTTGAAATGAAAATAAGTTATTATAAATAATGGAATAAATATAAGATAAAAATATTAAATAAGAATTTTGATACTAAATTTAATGGATTATCATAAATTCATTAAAATCACTAGAAAGATGGGCATTAGTATATATGCATGATTTGGGGCTGGTAAATTAATTTATGGCATTATAACATTGCTTAAATGTGAAGCACAGATTTTATTAATAGAATCCCAAACACATTCATCAGCTTAATTACATTATAATTGATTATAATTATATTAGCATAAAGGTTAGCATATCTAAATTAATAATAAAATGAAAATACTTTTAATGAATTATTGAATCTACAATGAGTATTTGGACAATCATCTTGGTTGTGATGTTGACAACTCTTAGATTTACATTTTTAATTAAGATTGTCATAAGAACAGAATTAAGATTGATTTAAACAAATACACGAATCTTTGATTTCTTCACATGAAACACAAGAGAAATCGTTCATTTAAACACATACATCAGTTCCAATATGTGTGCCCATACAATCTCCTTATGATATACCTAAATATCTACATCCAGTAGATGTACATTCTTCAACTTTATTAAGTGTTGGAATCCATGCACATTAAATTCCTTATTATTTTTTTAGAATACAATTATCACTAGTAGATATTTAAGAACAATCTAATTATATAGTACATTTTTCTTATTAATCATTCCAATCACAATCATTTTATAAACATTATGTTTTACCCATATATTCACAAGTTCTATTTTTACAATATCCAACAAAAACACATTCATTTATAAATTATTCACAATTAGTTTAATTTAATGAATTACAATCAAGATTTTCACAACCAGTTAATGTTAATTTATTTTTACATCTTTTATTCTTAATCTTATAAACAGAGCAATCAAGAGAAGTTGCAATAAGATCATTACAATTATAAGCAGGTAAACATTCTGATTAAGTATTTAAATAACAATAAGCATCTCCAATAACAGTTCCTTAACATTCATTAACAATGAGATCAGAACATTTTTTATCTCTACAAGTACCATAATTTGTATTTTTTAAATATTAAGTAATATCCTTATTTGTTTTAGATTCTGAAACTTCAAAGAAACAATAATTCAAATTTTCACATTTACTATATTCAAGTATTGTTGAACATATAGGGAATTATTCAATATAAGCAAGACATTAACATTTTGAATCACTCCATTTACATTCATCTAAAACATTACAACCTAAAGCACTTAAACCTAGAGTATTACAATTATCTGTAATTGTAGATTTAATACAACCATGAGTTAAATCACTATATTTACATCTGTCAATAGCAAGTGAACATACTTAATAATTAGCTTATTCAACTTAATTACAAACTACATTCAAATTAGGATCTTGAGTTTAACATTTTTAATTTTTAAATATACACCCTTATATTAAAGAACAAGCAATAGCATTAATACCTTCTATTTCACATTGTGTATATATTTGAGTAGGAATTTCACATTTATTAAATTATTTATTATATACACATGCATCATCTAATACATAAGAACAAACAAAAGAATTCACATCTATAAATACTTATTCACAAGAAGTAAATGGAATATAATCTTGACAACCAAATATACCATCTTAATCTTATATCCAAACACATGGTCCAGTCTTTAAATTTAAACATGCATATTTATTAATTCCTTTATCTGAACAAATTGCTGTATTAATATCAATAAGATCACAACCAATTTCACCTGAACCACAAGGTAATTATAAAGAGAGTTGAGAACATAATTATGGTCCTAAACCATCTCTTTTGCAAGTTTATGTTTATAATAATCTATGAGATTATAATTACTCTTCTACTAAAAGTCTTTTGCCTTCAAATACACAAGTATGATTTTTTTCATCCCAACTACATTTTTAAAATTAATTTTTTATACAAGCCTATTTATTTAGACCTGGAGTCATAGGGGAACATGTTAAATTATCAAAATTGATTTCTTTAATACATGATAAAGTATCTTAATTATATCTAACCATATCTCCATTGTTTACTAATGCACAAGTATTACTATTAATTAAAACATAAGTATTAGGAGTAATTATATCACCTTTAATTATAGGAATAGTTTAACATTATTCATCATTCCAATAACATTAAACACCTTTTGTTGTAATCTTTAAACAAGCTAAATAACTAAGTTAATCTGAACAATTCATAGTATCAAAAGCTGTGAATATTTTACATTCACCTATACTTAATTCAGTTTCTTCTTTGGCTAATGAAGTTAACTTAATTTTAATAGTTTTGAGTTCCCAAATACATTCATTTACAATTTATTATGTACATGATACTTTATTAATATTATCTAAACAATTATTAGAATTTTGTATTTCAAAAAATGTTTTACATTAATTATTTATAAATTAACATAATTATCCTGGTCTTTCTACATCTAAACATGCTCTCATATTACCAGATGCAATTTCTATATCCTAACACTCATCATATAATTTTTTTTATTTGTATTCACATTATTCTGTAGTTGAATTCCAATAACAAGGTAATCCTTTAATTATTTTACATTATTCAGGTGTTTATGCTTGATCACAATTAGTTGGATTTATTGTTCTACATATTTTTAATGTAGTATCAAAAATACAAAAACTATTTTAAATTGATGTACATATATTTCTAGAAGCATTTTCAATTAAATTACAATCAGTTTAAGTTGATGTATATTTCTAACATTTATTATCAATCCAAAGACAATTAAATTAAGATTAGAATAAACATGATTCTAAATTGGAAGCAAATGTACAACAATCATCAACTTATGTAGAATCACAATTCAAAATCTAATAATTTGGTCCATAACAATAATTCCAAAATTTACATTAAAGTGATTTAGTAGTTTTATTTAAACATGATAATTGATTTAAACCTCTATTGCAACTGAATTCATCTATTGGTTCTGTAAAAGCACAAACCTTTTTCTTAATATCATATTTGCATAATTAATCTTCTACTGATACTTATTCACAATAAATAAAACTATTTATAGTTGTTAGTTCTGTACATGTTGTATCTTTCAATGTTAAAGGATTTATCTCTTAACATAAATCATCTATAAATCTGCAATATACTCCATCAGTAGTAATATTTTAACAACCAAATATATTAACAGCATCTTCACATCTAATTATTGATGTATCAGAAATTTTACTGCAATTATTATCTTTATATTAACATGACTCATATTTTACAGCTTAACAAGATATCTTATCAGTATTTGCATCACTACATAATGAAAATTCACCTTCTTCTTTTAAATAACAATGATCACTGAATACACAATTTGTATTCTTTTAACATGCAATTTAATTATATCCATTAGTTTATACACTACAATCAATTTCATCTTCTGGCTTAAGTATTACACATGCTTAATCAGAATTACTAAAATAACAATCAGTATCAGTAACTCTCTCACAAATAATACTGGAATTAATATTAACATAACTAATGCAAGGTTATGTAAAATCTGTGACTTTTTCACATAGATTTTTTACTTTATTAAACATACATTAAGCATTAGGATTAGTAATACTTACACATCCTAATAGATTGGATTAACTATCACAATCAAGATAAGATAATTATTATGTAGGTATTTCTAAACACTCATCTTTCCAATAGGTTAATTTATTATCATCTTTATAGAGTTAACAAGCTTAGGAATTAAAAGAAATTCTATTAGTCCATTCTGTTATTATTTCAGATGTAAATTCTTAACACATTTTAACTTAATCATTATAATAACATGGAGTAGATGCTTCACTAGTAGCAAGAGCACAAACTAATGGATTAGTTTATTTATTAAATTAACCACAAATAGATAAATCTGAATTTATTATTATATCTTGACATCCAAGTGTATCATCAAAATAACAATATTATTTTTTAGTTCTTATTGATAAACATTTATCTTTATTGACTTTATCTTTACAATTATTATTTCCATAACTATTTTAACATAAACCATCCTAAAATATACATAATGAACCTTCTGTTTAATATAAACATCCAATTAAATTTAAACCTTATTAATTACATACAAATATTTAATCTGCTTCAATTACATTACATTAATTAGTTTAGACATTCAATCTACATGGTAAATCAGTTCTTGATGAACAAACATTAGAATTTACAATAGCACCTTCATCTTATAATGTTTAACAAGTATCTACTATATCATCTATATCTTAACATCTATTATTTTTAAATTTGCATAATTTGCCTTTGTCTGTTATTATCATAGAACAAGAATACCAATTCAAAGTATCAGAACATGTTAAAATTTATTAAAGTGAAGATTTAGTTTAACTTTAACATTTATTAT